AAAAACAGTAACAATGTGAATATCTACACGAAGACCCTGTGGCCTCTATAATGCTACCCAATTAAAACCCACTCAAGCCGAGCATTGCTTCCCATTTGGTGGCCATATTATCTCGGGTCGTTTTTTACCAGCGTGTTTGGGTTGCTATTTACCCTGTATCTGTATGGGTTCTGTGTAAAAAAGACGCTTTATTTCATGGTTTGTATATGAGATCACTGTTGGAATGATAGTTCACTAGAGAGAGATACTCAATTGCATATTGAAGCTAAGTGAGTTTAACTTGTGTTCTATTCATGTCAATCGTACTTCATCGTCGCCTAGATTGCCCACAACCGCCAACACCAACGCTCATTTTACAACTGCACAACCAACCCAATCATTTCCAGAATTCTACTGCATGACCAAGACATTTCTAAATCGAGGCTTTCCGGCCTGAAGACTCTCAACCGCATCCTGTACCTTATCCAAAGGATACTTCTCAATCATACACTTCACTCCATGGATCATGGAGAAGCGAAGAGCCTCCTCGCTATCGAGGGCATGACCACTAGGCCAACCAACCACACTTGCACCTTTCAAGACCAGTGGCACCGTATCGATCTCTGCTGGCCCAACAGGTGCAAGACTAAGTAGCTTGCCCTCAGCAGCGAGGCCATTGACGAGTGGTGCCACAGCCTTGGGATTGGGTGCTGTTTGGACAATGATAGCGGCACCACCAAGCTTGGTGAGTTCTTCAGCTGGGTCGGACTTCTTGGTGTTGATGTAGTGATGAGCACCGAGTTGCTTAGCAAAGTCCGCCTTATCGTCGCCTGATGAGAGGACAGCGACTTCATAGCCCATCTTGTTGGCGTATTGAACAGCTAGGTGGCCGAGACCACCCAGACCCTGGATCGCAACGAGATTTCCCTGCTCAACATGCAGCTTTCGGATTCCATTGAAGACAGTGACACCAGCGCAGAGAATAGGAGCAGCCTCAGCAGGATCCAACTCCTTCGGGACACGAACAACAGCCTCCGCTCTCAAGAGCACATACTCGGCAAACCCACCATCCTGGCTCACGCCGTTAATCGCCTTGTTATCGCACATCTGGAATTGAGCGCGCTGGCACTGTCGACACGTTCGGTCATGGCCACCGTGCCAAGGTCCACCGACACGGTCGCCGTTCTTGAAGTTTTCAACGCCTTCGCCGACTTCGACTACGTCGCCGATGATCTCGTGGCCGGGCACACGGGGGAAGACATCGCCCATGTGGCCAGCGCCAGTGGCGATGTCTGAGAAGCAGACGCCGCAGGCAAGAACCTTGGCGAGGATCTGGCCTTTGGAGGGGTGTTTGAGGGGGACGTCGCTGAGAGTCCATGATGCGTTGGCTTTGTCGAGGACGCAAGCCTTGTAAGTCTGAGGAAGAGAAGACATGGTTGATGTTGATTTGACTTTTGATTGAGACTTGTTAATTGAATCGGTAAGATTGCGATGATATGAGATTCTCAACGAGGAGAAAGCAACAACTTATATACAACAACCCCTCAACGCTCAAACCTCATAGAGCATCTACACTAACCATGCATCATATCTTGCTAAGAGTGCATTTACCTCCACTGGCGATTGGCTAACTCTCCGATAAGGAAGGTTCAGCGCATCATAGCAAGCGGAACAAACTCAACTGTCGCAAAGATCCGAGTGTCATTGGACAATTCCCGGATTTAGGGCGGCCGACATCACCGGCACTTCAGCCGTGCCGTCTTTGGTGTTGATCTCGGGCATGTGTAAAGCCGTAAATGGTTGTCGGAAATGCAGTCATCAATTCTTCCAAAACCGATGGCCTCTCATTGGTCGGCAATTAATCCGAAAGCTAGGATGATCCGAGAGCTTAACGTCAAGCCACATTTCAGCCACACCAGAAAATTTCCCCCCACCATCAATTCAGTTCGCGATGCGCAGAGCTCCAAGGAACGGACGGTAGATACTTCATTACCGCAAGATGCCTCTCGATACGTCAACATACTCATTAGCGCTCCTGCGCGTCGACGGAAGAAGATGGAACGAGCTCCGTCGTCTGCATGCTCAAATCCGAACTCAGGATGCTGCTGACGGTTCATCATATCTTGAAATGGGCCATACAAAAGTCATGTGCATCGTGACAGGTCCTTCAGAGCAGCAGGTTCAGAGACGTGGTGGACAGCAAGCTCCCCGTGACACAGCAGCTGTCAACGTCAATGTTGTAGTAGCAGGGTTTTCGAGCGTGGATCGAAAGAAGAGAGGGCGCAATGACAAGTACGTGTCCTGCTGGACAGTGAAAGACTTGGGACTAACTGCTTAGGCGCATCCAAGAGATTGAAACAACGATTGCGAATGCGTTTTCTTCGAACTTACATACACACCTGTTTCCTCACTCTTCCATCACAATCTCGCTTCACGTTCTGTCGCAAGACGGATCCCTCCTCGCCGCTCTTCTTAACGCAACGACCCTCGCCCTCATCGACGCTGGTATCCCAATGACAGATTACATTGCCGCCTGCACAGCGGGCTCAACATCAACATACGCCGCGGGCGACGACACAGCCGATCCTCTGCTCGATCTCAACAACCAAGAAGAGCAAGAACTACCCTTCTTGACGGTCGCGACACAAGGTGATGACGATCAGGTAGCTGTACTGGTATGCGAGAGTCGTGTGCAAGTTAGCAGGTTGGAGGGAATGCTGGTCGTTGGTGTGGATGGGTGTAAGCAGGTGAAGCAGTTCTTGGATCAGGTAGTCAAGGATAAGGGTGCTGAGATGGTGAGGGAGGGTGTGGTGGAGAAGAACGATGCTATGGGGATGGATTTGGATGATTAGATACCATGTGCATGGGGGTCCTAAAAGTGTTTGGAGTTATCTGTTTGATCTGCTATATGACAGGTATGTCTTCGCTATCAAGGCTATAGTCACAGACTAATTGTAAGATTTAAGGGATTCATTCCCCTTACAGCTCCTCGTGCTTGATCTCCTCCTTGGTCTTGGGCTCAGCTTCAGACTCAGCAACAGGTTCAGCTTCCGGCTCAGGGGTCTTGGCCTCGGCCTCAGCTTCGGCTGGAGTCTCAGACTCAATCTCAGCCTCAGTCTCAACCTCAGTCTTGGCTTCCTTAGGACCGTCAGTCTCAACCTCGGGCTCGGGGTCAGTAGCTTGAGTAGACTTCTCCTCAGCAGCCTCGGTCTTTTCGACGACAACACCCTCGGGGATCTTCTTCTTAGCACCCTCGCCCATTCGAATAGCATCAATCCAGTTCTCGACACTGGCGAGACTAAAGTCACCTTCGTACTGACGCCACCAGTTGCGGCGGGTGTTGATAGCGATCAGGTTGACCTCCTTCTTAAAACCAAGAGCCTTGGGAAGAGTAGAAGCAGCTTCACTATCGCTGGGAACAGCGATGATGGGGAAGGTCTTTCGGCCACCGTGGACATACTTGGTGTTGAGGTGGGAGAGTGAGTCGACTGCCTTTTCTCCAGCTTCACCGGGAGTGAAGACAAGAACACAGGTGTGAGACTTGGGAGCGAGACACTCCTCGGCGAGCTTCTCCAGACTAGAGATAGTAGAAATAGGAATGATGGTGGGAACTGCCTCAGCAGCCTCAGTGGAAGACTCCTTTGACTCAACGGGCTCCTCCTTTGCAGCCTCGGTAGCCTTGCTCTTCTTGGCACTCTTAGCGCCCTTGGACTCGGCCTTCTTGGGCTTTGAGCTTTTGGTTTTGCCAGTAGCGTGAACGGGGTTAGGCTCTCCAGCCTGAGAGAGAAACTTGACCATATCCTTCTTGACCATCTCACCATCGTAGATGATAGGATCCTTGCCTTCACCGGGGATGAGCACAAGAGCGGGGAACTTCTCAATGCCAAACTGCTTCACCGCAGCAGTCTCCTTATCACGGATCTGGCTCACTGAAATAACATCAAGGAAGTCAATGGCAATGCTTCGGATCAAAGCACTAGTCGTTCCCTTTGATGTGAAAAGAATGGCCTTGGGCTTATCACCCTTAAGGAAAGAGTCAAGATCCTTGTCGCTCACACGCGTAACATGGTTGTTGATCTTGCTCATGACAGCCTCTTGAATAGCACCTGCAGTTCGTTGACCCTGGTAGTCTTCAACAACAGGGTTACCAGTCTTCTTTCCAGGGCGAACGATCTTGAGAGTTGGGAAGCCCTGGACACCCATACCACCACAGAACTGCTTGTTGGACTCTTCATCGCAGTCAATAGCTGCGACTTGAGCGAGACCATCGAGGTTCTTGGCGGCCTTTTCATAGGCGGGCTTGAGGTTCTGACAGTGGCCGCACCATGGGGCGTAGAACTCGACGATCTATGATGTGTAAGTGGCGATAGTCAATAGTGAGCGATGGGGTGAAAGACTTACAGAGGTGTAGTTGGACTTTGCAATGAGCTTATCGTAATTGCGAGCATTGACCTGAAGAACAGGTGAGTTCTTGGTGTAGATGGCAGCTTGAGCCTCTGGCAGAGCCGCAAAGGCAGCTGTCAAGGCCACCAAGAGCGAGGTGGGGTTAGGCATGGTGAAGTAACTCTCCGGTACAAGAAGGCAAAAAGAAGACAGGATTTAATCGTATTGTAGTGAAATAGAATGACTTGTACAATGTTTTGTACTGCAAAGACCAAGTTATAGTTGCCTGTTGGTCCCCGTCAAGAACAAAGTGGCATCTTCTGGAAAAGGAAAGGAAAAAGCCACGGTGACAGACCTCCAAAAAGTGAAGCCAGGGTCTCTGATTCGACAGTTTGAGCTGGAGCCACAAGTGGCGTGAGCTGATCGAATCCGGGGAACCAGTGGCTGTGCGCCGCTAACCTTACATACGTCAATGGCCTAGGCAGACAGAAGAGGAGGAGTAAGGTTGAGGTGGGGGGATCTCCAAGACAACTTAACTTGACTTGGAGTTGGCATTAATTTGCGCCATCTTGACTCGACTCTCACCATCTAAGCTTCCAACTCTGAAATTACCTGGGGACCTTATATACGACGTCAACATGGCAGAACCTCTTCCAGCTGCGCTCAAAATCCCTGAAGTCAGTCGCTTCATCAATCGCGCAAATCAGCTGAGGAGCATCAAGCCCGCCATCGCATACTGGTGTAGGCAACCACAAATCTCCTCGCCCAAGATAACTGCTGATAGCATTTCTTAGGTGAATACCATGCTGTCAACCAAATCGTGGGAAAGAGCCTGCATACCACCGACGACGATACCTTTGAGTTCACAAAGACACTGATCGAGCGCCTCGAGGCAACAAAGACGGAACGAGCTGATGATGATGCGATCGTCGATAACGCTGCGGGACAGGCTTATGTTGAGCAATTCGCCCAGCAGACGTTTGAGCGAGCTGAGCGCACGATGCGCGCTAACAAGGTGACAAGGTATGTCGTTGTTACCAGATTATAAGGCGAGACTAACAGACGTAGACAAACCGCCGACACATTCGATGCTGCTGCGACGTTCTTCGACCTCACCCGCGAATGGGGCGAGCCTGATCCCGAAGTCGTCAAGAAGATCAAATTCGCCAAATGGAACGCTGCGCGAATCCTTAAGGCTATTCGCGAGGGCAAGGATCCCAACGAGACGAACCCTAATGCCCCTGAGCCTGAACCCGAAGTCGCTCTCGACCCCTCCGATCCTGAGGTCCAACTCCTATCCGGAGCTCCTCGCGCTTCGGTCGAGGATGCGCCAGATGCTGGGGAACCTCCTAGTGTTCCTACATTCACGGACGCGCCGCCTAGAATTCCAGATGATCCTGGATACTTCCCTCCCCAACCCGAGCATCAGCCCCAGGCGCCTGAACCATTCATCCCCTCGCCTTTGAGTCAGAGTCCTACGCCAGGTCTATCCGGTGGTCCTCCTCCTCCTCCACCCGTTGGTCTACCGCCTGCTGTGTCTCCTGTCCCAGAACCCCCAGCACAGCCTGCGACACAGATCCCTCCTCAACCATCACCTCAAATCCCAACCAAGCTTCCCTCACAATTTGCTCCTCCTCCGCCTGAGCCTTTCACCCCTTCAGCGCCTCCATCCTGGACAACGACTCCAAGCGCTCCTCACCCTGCTGCTTCAAACCCTCCACCTGTGATTCGCCAGGCGCCTGCTCCTCAGCCTCCAGCTCCAGCGCCTGTCCAGACGACCGGTTTCACAACAGATCAAAGGGATATCAACCAAGCGCAGAAGCACGCCAAGTGGGCAATATCCGCACTCAACTTTGAAGACGTACCCACTGCAGTTCAGGAGCTGCGCAATGCGCTGAGAATGCTTGGGGCTCAGTAAGACAGTTTGTTAGTGTTTTGGATTCACGAAGCATAGATGAGAACGATACCACGAGTTTAAATAGCAAGAAAGAGCTACTATATTGTTCATCTTATGAATAAAGCTAAGAGTATATGTGTTATCTGCCGCATACCAGTATAAAAGTCCGCTTCGTAAATCTCATTTGAGCCAAAGCTCTCCATCGTGAGAATCGTACACTTAGGCCAAAGCCAGTAAGCCATGAGCCTCATATCCGGGGTGAGGAAACCCTTCAGGATAGCCCACCTTCTGAGTTTCATCTTCTTCATCAACAGAGGTGTCCGTCCATCCTCTCTCGGGGCCCCATTCAATGGCCAAACCAGCTTCATTGACGACGCCCATTAGGCCCTGCATCATATCGCCAGACTTCTTAACACTGGCCCAGCCGTCAAACTGAACTGTGTGAACAGATGGCAGGGCCTCTATAACATCAGTCAGAAGATTCCGGCTAAAGCCCTCGTAGAATCCATCTGAGCGACGCCAACCCTGAAAGATGTTGTCACTAGGATCACATTCCACAAACACGTTCAACCGCTCAACATCAACACAGTCGGAGAGCCCCAACGCGGGGTTGACGACCCATCCTCTCGGCGGCGCATTCCATCCAGGACCAAGTCGCAGCTCAAGCGATGTAACACACTTGCGCTGCTGTGGCTTCAACCTCGCGAGGAGAGGTTTCTTGCTCTTGAAGTATTTTCCAGGGTACGTCGGAAACAATCGAAACGTCCGTGTGCTATAGAACGCAAAAGTCGCCTCGTCATGAACCTGTCTGCAAACGCGCATGAGACCTAATTTCTTATGCACGCGCTTATAATTCTGGGGACCGAGATCTAAGAGCTTATCGACATCATCAAAGAAGTATGTGTATATCTGAATGCGCACTTCGGCCGGGAGTGAGAGGAAGTGGAATGGTGTTTTCGGGACTCGGCGTTTTGGGCGGAGAGGGATAAGAGGAACGTCGAGAGTCAAGTCGGCGATGTTGATCTTGTTGACATCTTCTTCTGTGACGGCGGGCGCAGGGTCTGCAGGAGGTGCGGTTTTCTTGGAGGGCATTACGATGCGTATTGAGCCAGCTGGACGAGAGCTCAGCGACGGGCGAGACGCTGAGCTCTTGCTCGATCGTCGGGCCATGGTGAGTGGTTGTGAGTACTAAGTGGCAAAGAGGAGAATTTCGACGATAACGAGAATTGAGGTAGGTCAGACTGAAGGAGATGAAAAAGGTCAGAGGTTAATGGCTTAATCGTGAGGGTTTCGTTTAGTTTGGAGATGTGAGGTTTATCATGAGGGTGGGTATCATGGTGTAGAAGCAATAGATGAGAAAGCACTTTAGAACAACGGCGTCAAATTGGAGTCTCGGGTAGCTAGTCGGAAATATCGGGGACTACCTAGATCGTGGCGAAAAAAAGAGGAATATCTTTTGCAGAAGAGAATTCTTTGGCTAGAAAGAAATCATCGGAAGCCCCTCGATGTCACAAGCGAAGAAATGGAAATGGGATGAGAAGTAGAGAAATGCTTGCACTGTTAAATCTCGTCTTCTTGTTTGCGAATGTCATCAACTTGAAGGGCCATTTCACTGAGCAAGGGTCTTTACTGGGTCAATGGACATCATGGAGGGGTTCATGATCGGAGGGCGACCGGAGCTGATGTCCCGATTTCACGTGAGCGATAAGATAATATGACGCCATCGGCCTATCAAAAGTCCGTATCACTGAGCACGGCTAATCCACGGTGTCTTCACTCAAGCAGCTCCACTTTGGCACAGAACCGTGCGATTTTTTTCCACGACCGACGACGCCATGCCATTCGATGGCGGAGTATCAGACCAACTTCGTCAAGCTGCACGTCAACGCCCCAGGCCATTGAAGTTGGATCCTCCACCATCGAAACCGCCAAACAGCCCCTCCAACCATAGCGGTTCAGCTCCTCTCCCTTCGCTATGCTGTCCAGAGTAGCCCAGGCTTCGCGCTTGGGCTTGATGACAGCTCGTCTGTCACGGCCCGTCGCATCTCCCTCTCTCCGAGCCCTTCCCGCCGCCGCTCCTCAATTTGCTTCGCCGTGGCTCCGAACATACGCCAAGAAGTCCTCCTCTCAACAAAACAAAGATTCGAAACAGAAGCCTCCCCAGGCGCAAAACGATGCTGAAAATGTCGAGAAGCCTGCTGAGAATGACGTCGACAAGGCTGGCGAGAAGTCTACCGAAGCTCCGAAGGAGGGGGAGCAAATACCTTTCCACAAGCTACCCGATCTGACACAGGGTATTCCTTCGACGCTGTTTGAGGAGATGGGCGGTGATAAGAAGAAGGAGCAGAAGGAACTGCAGGAGATGGAGGAGGCTGAGTCGAGTGGTGGACGTGAACGATCGGAATATGTCTCTACGTCTGAGCGAAATCGCAAGTGGTGGACAAGATTCATGCTTATTACGGCTGCCGCCGGTGGTACTCTGAGCGTTCTATACATGGGCCGAAACTGGGAAGACACCATCGAAGCTGAGCGTCACTCTGACATTCCCAACGGCCCTGGTCTTGGTCTGTGGTGGAAGCGTGCCAAGGCCCGTTTGACCGAGTCCGTCACTTACTACCAAGAGCCTGCATTCGAGAAGCTGCTCCCCGATCCCGATCCTTCGTTCGAGCGACCTTATACTCTCTGCCTGAGCTTGGATGACCTTCTCGTTCACAGCGAGTGGTCCCGTGAGCATGGCTGGAGAATTGCAAAGCGACCTGGTGTCGACTACTTCATACGTTATCTTAGTCAGTACTATGAGCTGGTCCTTTTCACCTCTGTGCCGTTTGCTACTGGCGAGCCTATCATGAGGAAATTGGACCCTTTCCGATTAATCTTGTGGCCCCTCTACCGAGAGGCTACCAAATTTGAGGATGGAGAGATCGTCAAGGTAAGCCTCCTCAATAGTCACCAATGTGCTTGCGCTAACAGCCCAGGACCTCTCTTACCTCAACCGTGATTTGAAGAAGGTGATCATCATCGACAGCAACCCCAAGCACGTCCGCAACCAACCCGAGAACGCCATCATCCTTGATCCCTGGAAGGGCGACAGAAACGACAAGGAGCTCGTCAACCTCATTCCCTTCCTCGAGTACATCCACACCATGCAGTACGACGATGTTCGCAAGGTCATCAAGTCCTTCGACGGCAAGCACATCCCCACGGAATTCGCCCGTCGTGAAGCCATCGCCCGCAAGGAGTTCCAGGCCAAGCAACTCGCCCACAAGCAAAAGCACGGCTCCGGCGTCGGCGCTCTAGGCAACCTCCTCGGTCTCAATCCTAGCAACATGAGCATGATGGTCTCCCCCGAAGGCGAGCAAAACCCCGCCGAGGCCTTCGCGCAGGGCAAGATGCTCCAAGACGTTGCCCGCGAGCGCGGCCAGCGAAACTACATGGAGCTCGAGAAGCAGATCCGCGAGAACGGCGAGAAGTGGCTCAAGGAAGAAGCCGCCATGATGGAGGCGGCCCAGAAGGAAGCTATGAACAGCATGATGGGTTCGTTCAGTGGCATGTTCGGCGGCAGCCCACCACCTGAGAAGAAGGCCTAGAAAAAGGGGGCCCGCTGAGTGAGGTGGCAAGCACATCTCCACTAATTAATGTCTTGTAATTTTTTTACGATAGGGGATCTCTGTTACAAAATACCATACTTCAGATTGGGAAGAGGTCTTATAGAAAAAGCATGGAGGGATGCATCCTTGATGATTTGGGGCATTTGGTGTAAGAGTGAAGAGGGGACTTTGTATATTAGGTGTATGTTGGGGGGTGGATATGTAAAAACATGATGTTACAAGTCAAATTTATGAGATAGGATTGAAGTAATGTGCTACCGCCTCTTTTGTTGTCACCGTGATGCTTTCGGTTGTCTTGTGTTTGTGTAATAACATATCTCAGGGAGCTAAGTTCTGTCTGCCGGAATAAGCTCCCAGCCACAAGTCTCAACTGCAAAAACACATCTATATCTCAGGGAGCAAGAAAGCTTGAGACTTGCGAAGAGGGTGTTAAGATAAACTTGGTGAGGAGTCCCATTAGCTTAGGCTGAGTTACCCAAGTCTTTTTACTACTGAGGACAAAGGTTATAAAATGCTTGAGGCAGTCTTTTCTCCCTATTCCATCTGTCTACACTCACGCTCGCCATGGATAAATGGGAAGTCTGAGAGTGATCTCTTTGCCCTCCTCTCTTGGATCGATTGTAGATATGGATGCTGTGGGGGAGCGATCTCTCTCCCCAAGCTCCCTCCCCATCCATTGGCAGGGGTCCTGTCGCCGCGCCCTATGGAAGGCCGCCTGCCTCCGAGCGGTATATTTGGATATTTAGCTGCTGGGGCACGTGCTTTGGCTGACACTGTCCCGACTGGGGCCGGAGATGAGCGTCCTGAACTTCCTGATCCTGAGCGACCGCGCTTGCCGGGCAGAGGAAAGCCCTTGAACCGCCTAGAATTGGAAATACTGTTAGCCAACTTGTCTCTCTGATAAGGTGAAGTGAAGTGAATATCATGACAGTGCTTACTCGAGGCCCTGGATGTTCCGCTGGCTCTTCATCCTCTTGTGCTTTCACGACTGGTACTCGTCCCTTCGAAACTTGTCCTCCGCATGCTCCTTTGGCTTCATAGGAAAGTAACTGTTACGAAACATCCCCGTACTTGCAGGAGTTCGCTCCACCGGCCGCTTCACGTCTCTGGAGCTGCCAGAGCACATTTCGAGGAATGTTGGGGTCGAGACGAGAATTGGTAAGAAATGTGAGAAAGGAAAAGGAAATGTGAAAGGGGAGGACCCGTGAGCTTTTTATCTGTGAGTGGGTTCCGTGTCAACAAACCAGACGTGTTTGGTAACCACGACCATCTTGCTTCATCATCGGCCCCGTATTCTTGCATCTTGTAGCTCCTCCTATAGCCATGACGAGTGTTAGGTTCGGAAGACTGAGGCAACCCTAACTTACAGTGGTTGGGATGTGTTATTTGTTATTTGCAGTCGAGGCTTGTGGCTGAGACGAGAAGCAGAAAGCTAGTTATGTGGGCAGTTGGTGTTAATATGTGTTTGTTAGCCTTTTGTTTGCTACAAACTTTCCGTGTCTACAGAGTAGCGTCTATCATTTCGTAGTGACTTGGCCTTCTTCTTTTAAGGATACTTCGATTTGAGGCGCTATTGCTCGAGCCTCCCATCGTCACCACAGTCTTGAAGTTAATCGCATGATCTTCCCCTCAAAGAAACACCATCCGACGCGTCGTGTCCTCTGTCCATAACTATAATGAGTGGGCAACAACAAGAAGTTAATACTGGAGGCTATTTATAACTCGCTATCACTACCTAGTCAAAGAAAAGGGTCCTAGATCCGCATTGGCCCAACTACAGGAATCACTTGTTGAGTGGACCATTGGCATATGGTTTTCAACGTGCCTCTCAAGTGAGGAGGTGTCACTGTAGCCCACGTGAAAAATACAACCAACTCTACTCCTCCCCTTCCCAACTATCGTTTGTAAAGATCACACCTCTTCCCAAATCCCCTTAATTTCCTTTCCCCTCTATCATCATCTAACAGCGCAAATCACCACTTTTTCTTTGTCACGCCATTTCAGTTCTGGCTCTCAGTCACATACCTCAACTACACTTTTCTTTTTCAACCCTGCAAATTCGATACACTTTTCAAGATGTGTTGTGGCATGGGCAGCAAAAACCAAATTGCTCGCGACGACAACGCATGGAAGTATCGCCACACCAACTATATATTCAACAACGCAGGGGGTCAATACATCAAGCAGATGGGCAAATATGCCCTTATAGCCGGTAAAGGTCCCCTCTAGGAGTGGGGACCCATGAGAGAACATGCTATCCCGCATAAAAATAGGCCCAAGTACGACCACACTGCGCCACCCACCTTCAACAAGATCAACTGGGATGGCGGGGGAAACGGGGCCGACCCGTTGCGAAGGACATCTCCCAAGAGCTCGGTTCGTTCGGAGTACCATAGCCCCAAGCCTGTCTTCAAGAAGGTTGACTGGAACGCCAAGGGCCATCCGGTACGATCGGTATCTCCCCGGGGTACGACTTTCCGGCTTGTAAGTGACCAAGACTTGTTGCAATGATAATGTGTGCTGATACTTGAGAAGTAAGTCGGCGAGAAGACCTCGCGACGCTCCCATGATGGATGCGCACAAGCCTGACAATATCGAGGAGGGGCCAGGACCTTGAGCCCAAGCGATGAAAGAAAGGGTCGCCTGTGAGATCGAAGAAGACACCAAGCAGAACCAAAAAGAGCCGATATCATGTATCTAGATAGCTTCATTTGGCCCTGTAGGTCGGGCTACGTATGGGTGGTGTTGAGATAATGGATGTGTGCTCCAGGCCCCAAGTCACTTCTTGTAGCCTGCCCACTGGAGCCCCCAGGTACCTTAGGTACCTCAAGTTAACAGCTTCTTTATACATACACACAACTTCTCTACGAGCCAAGGCCCTCTCATCAGAAAATACCATCGATTATGGAGCCCCTCAGGGAGAAAGACCATCCAAGATGTAGAAAGAGGATGCCAAAATAAACTTAGCAAAGAGTCTCCTAAGCTCAGGCTATATGCTTCCCCCTAATTTGTAATCTTCCTATGTCCACTTGCCCTACTACTTTCTCACTAGATGTAAAGCTGGAAGCTTGGGTAATGATGCGGGGAGTCGGTGTATTGCCTGAAGTGTGTTTATGAGAATGTTATTTTTGAGTAGACCTGACAGCTGATGCTTACATCACGCACCATACCCCTGCGGACTGGCCAACAAGATCAAGCCGAGAACCCTTCAATACTTTCCACAAACAACTTTGCTACTAAAGTATGTACCTCTTTAACGGGGTGATATGAATCGAAGAAGATATGCTTCTCGGGATCACTGCATAAATGTCGTGGAACACCCTCGCTCGTATAAACGCCCGTGAGACATGCAGTCGGAGGATTAACATAGTCCTCATCGAACCCGTAAGCCTCGGGATCCGAAAACATGTCGTTGAATAGTTCCTGCACGTCGATCACTGCGGTTTTGGCATATGCTGAGTATCCTGCTGCAATTTGTTCGAGACCCTTTGTCAGGGCGGGGACGTAGTCTTGCACGCTGGGGACGTTGTAGGCTGAAGAGTTGTACGTTGCTGGGAAGGTCGTTGCGTTGAGATAGTTTGCTAGGATGATAGTCTTTGCACCTGTAATGAATCAGAATTTGAACTTTGAGTTCGAAGGGCGGTCTTACCGGCTTGGAATAGTCTGTTAACGTTCTCGTTAATCAAGCTCGTGACCTGTCCTCCAGTAATACTTGTGTTGAAAAGAATGTCATTGGCACCAATCCAGTGAACAAAGATATCACCAGTCTGAGGTTTATCCCAAGATAGAAACGACAGAACTTGATCTGCAGCTGAAGGCACAGGAATCGTCGACTCAGCACCTGTACCTCCAGCGACGAAATCGTTGTTGGTAGTCGCTCCGCCAGTCGCGAGGTTGATGAGCTCAAGGCCCAGCTGCTTGGCCACTACATCGTTCCATTTCGGTCCATTCCTGTCCAGAATCAGTATACACTCTCAATTGAGAGAGGTAAAACTCACGAGAAAGAATGGTGGTAGTACGCTGGGTCAACAGGCCAAGTCCCATTGCTCACGACCCAAGACCCATTCCCGTTATCGCTGAAACTATCACCAAAAACGACAAGCCTTGAAAACTTGGCAGAGTGCTCAACGGGATACGCATGTGCCAAAAAGCTGCCGTATAGGCCTGTCAACAAAGCGCTGAACATTTTCATGGTTGATCAGGATGAAGTTTGTAGCTTGGAATTTTTCAAGGGATGGGGTTGATAACCTCGGCAAAAAAGCCACCGACGATGGGACTGTCTTGTATTCATATAAACAACATTTCTCTGCCACAATATGACGCCCAAAAAACGGAGGATCTGATTGGCTACTCTGGCATTGGGCTTATTGATTATCAAGAAAATGAATCCTACGATATTTCGTCATGCAAGTTTCGGTCCATACGAATGCCTGGGGAGCTGTAGCCGGGATGTTCGGCAGTGAGATTGTTGCGATAGTTTGGGCCGATCTCATAAGCATTACCACCGAGGATTTCTGAGTCTTACCGGAATTGTTCAATAGAATTGAATTTATCATGAGTGATGGCATCTCCTCATCTGACGTGTATTCCAGCTCAGCTTGAGATGGGTCCGATGTTCATAAGAAGTCTCCGTCGCCCAGAAAACTAAACAACAAAGCTTCAGTCTCTTCATCCATAATCATATTCCCCGTATCAAAACTCTCCGGCGCCGTCGGCGTCCCAACATACCCCTGCGCCATAGCCTTCGAGCTCTCCCCAACTTTCCTACAAATATCAATCAACTTTCCCCTCATCTGATTGAACATAGACGGCAAGTATCTCGGTGGCGTCATACCCGCACCCTCACTCATAGCCCCCTCAATCTTGACCGCCAGCCGCTCCAGCGTCGATGTAAAATCGTGTATACCCGTGACGAGGTTCGGATCCCAGAGGGTGGAGTGTGTAACCAACAATCGGGAAAACATGTTTATGCAGTGTCCCATCTGGATCCAGTAGGTGTACGGCATGGAGAGAATGGTGGGGGATGTTAGGAGCAGAAAGTTTTCGATTACGGCTTTGACGGCGTTGAGGCATGATACGAGAAGATAGGAGCAGCGGAGGGCATGTGGGGAGGGGTCAGCGGCCGGGAGGAGGTTCGGGTTCGTTGGTTCGTGGAGGCGTTCGTCGATGCCGATTTTGTAGAGGTAGACTTGGAGCATGTGGAATGACATGGTCAATGGTGCTACTGAAGGTCAGATTCAGGTACCGAAGAACTTGCAAGCTGTTGTACTACCTTGAAGACGGGATCCTTGATGCAGAGTCGCGCCCAGATCTTGTACCTGTCTCTCCACATGTGATGTCGCCATAAATAGCGTATGCGAAATCTGTGCCTCATTTCTTTCTAAATCCTGGTATAGCGTTGCGCTGATAGAACTTGCAACGAGCTGTATCCTCACCAGTTGAGTAAGATATGTGTCCCAGGGAGATTCCAATCCTGCTTCGAGGACTGAGCAGCTGTTGTTGATGGAAGGTCGCGAGGGCATCGGTACAAAGTCTTTGACACAGATTCTTAGTCTTGGTCAGGTCAGTTAGCATATTGAAATTATATGGTGTCTCTCGCTTACAAGGAATTCAACCAAAAGACTCCCAAGTGACATCTCCTCTCGTCGCTTGTTCTCACAGGCTGAGGCTCTTGCTTCTTGGTGATTTCAGTCAAAACCCCTGGTGCAGTCCTGGTGCCTGATGATGGCTCTTTGTCGAGGCCTAGCTCTGTGACTAGTGACATGGCCATGTACATAAGATTGCTGAGTTGGTGGCCGAGAACCCAATGAGTTTGGTACCTTCAAATGTTAGTATATGCAAGTACGTGCTTCGGACGAAAGACATACCAAGCAAGAAAAACCATGATCCCTTGAAGCAGCTGAAGATTCTTCTCCGCAAGCGTCCATATTCTGCGCCCAATCTCCTCCCGATACTTCTGCGCAAGTTCCTGCTGGATCTCAATATTCTCCTGACACGTAACCACCATAATCGCCATATACAGCATCGGTCGGTCCTGGAACAACTTCTCAGGAATTTCATCTAGACCTATCCACACGAAGGGAAAAAGTGGCATCATTTCTTGACGATAGGTTTCTAGCATTTTGTAAGCTAGACGGTGAGAGGTAGATGACAACGGGTATGAAAATAGTGCGTGGATGGGCGATTGGGTTTCCGGTGGCGTTTGTGAACTTGAGCTGGTAGCTGATGAGGCTTTTCGAGGATGAGTTGCTATTGTTATCGAGGGAAGTGTGGTTGTTGATGAGGATGATAGGAGGTTTGCAACTGAATCAAACTTGGATTCTAGTCTTAGGAGATCACTAGTAAAGTCAGTCAACTGCTAGTCCGCAGGATTGAGTATACAAACTCTCGGGCATAAGTCCCGCCTTTCGAATGACTCCTCCGACTATGACTTCCTCTCGGCTGAGAAATACACTCCTTGTTCAATCTCTCACATCTATGCCACCAACATTAGCTCCATCCCAACTCCAATACTGGGTAACTCACCTTGTGCATCGCTTCTGCCCCAATACCATGTCACATCTGACTTTTGCACTAGCACAAACCGTGCAAGCCTTGAGACCTCTGAGTTTCGCGTCATTGGCGTCCATGTTGATCGTGAGGTGATGATAGTGAAAAGGTGATTGTTAGGTTCTGAGAATCGACATCGACCGTAGCTTTGGACGTCATCAAATGGGCTTAGTTTCAGTGGCTATGCAGTGGTCTTGGCGTGGCTGGCGCTCTGATCCTTGGCGCTTGAATGCTTCGGCAGTGAAAGTTGGAACAGCCTAAATAGGAAGCCCGCATAACGTTACTCGTATGTTATTGCAAAACGTAGATGTCTATCGCTGAATATAAAATTATATTTGGTGACATGAGCTTAGTTTCTGAACCGGTCGAGAGGTTCAACGGTGGCCATGCGTCAGCCAATCTTTGGTTGGCGTTAAAGTCAATGGAAAACCAACAGAATAGGTTTCACTGAAGCTTTTGGGCGGATACCGACCAACAGCATATTAAGCATGATTTTTGAATTCGCCAATTGAAGGCACCGGAATTTAGCTGATCCGATCCAAGGGAGGGATATGGTTTCTATGTTCAATTATAGCACACGAACTTCAGTTTCACCCACGGCTTACAAGCACCATCATGTCTACCTCTACAAAGCGACCAAAGGTCTTTGCATATGCCAAGTTTGATCTCGATGCTCTTATTCTTCTCGCGACAAGACTTCGAGGTCAATCATGCACTGTAGACACTTCGACAAGGCCCAAAGCTGGTAGTACGCACTGGGCCATTTTCATCACTTTCGAGGATGGTGTCGAATGGGTATTCCGATAGCCACGGAGAGGACTGAGCGCCATTATCACCGAAGAATCTGCGTCCAAGTTGCTCATCAGCGAGGCTTCGACTCTGAAGTATCTGAGAGCCCTGGGTTCAATACTGGTACCAGAAGTGTTCTCGTTTAGGTGAGGATGTCACGTTCTCGAACAAGTGCACCTGAAGAAGAAAGAAGAGATACTGATATGATCAAACAGTGGAGATGGTGACAATGACATCGGAGTGCCGTATATCCTCATGAGCAAGGCTAGTGGCCGTCCACTGTCAGATTATGACTGGATTGAGTTGTCTCAAATAGAAGGGTATCCAAACAGACGCCCTCTTCTACCCATGACAGACCGAGATCGAGAAAAGGTAATGGCGCAGTTAGGAACCCTCATGTCCCGTCTCTCGGGCACCCATTTCGACAAGATTGGCTCGCTCTTCCAAGACAACAAGGGCAACTATTTCGTTAGCGAATGCCTAAGCGCCTCTCTCATCTGGCAGCACAGAGATGAGCTAGAAGGCGTCGACCGAGGCCCTTTTGATCAGGAAAGCCAGTATCTTAGGTCCCTGATATCTGCCTTTACAGCTCATGCTGAAGAGTTCTCGCTCAGCCCTCATAGTTTCTTCGCTCCAATACCTGATCCTTTCGAATATCCGAATTGGGCAAGCTATCGCAAGGCGGTGGACAGATGGCAAGCTTTCTGCTCTATTGGTGATAAGATTGAGGGCAATAAGAACCGGCTTGACTTTTGCATTGCAGCTCAATTCTTGACCGAAATGGTTCCTCACCTTGTCTGGGCAGAAGAACCGTTTGTGCTCTGCCACCCCGACCTTCACCGTGGGAATATCTTTGTCGACGAGGACTTCAACATAACGTGTATCATCGACTGGAGTTCTGCTTCGGCGGGCCCTGCAGCAGAGTTGCTCTCCATTCCAGGACTCAATGGGTCGTTTTCACCGCCTAAACCGTCACTCGTTGCAGCTTTCAGATCTGGATTTCGTAATGGGAGCCAAGCCTCGGGGCCTCAGCAATGTAAGAGAGCTGACAAATTGTGGTATTTTCTGCGACTGGTTCGGATGCTCTCCACACAAGACTATGCTCTCTTCAAGTCGTTGTTTGATCTTGTGTACAACAAGAATTCAGGTGATATTCCTCAACTCTTTCATGACAGGAGTATGCAAGAGTCTGGTCAAGCTCTATTGGCCAAGCTGTGCCAAGGTGACTCTGAAGAGGAAGAAGATGAAACAACACAAAAAGATAATAATGACGGTCAAACGAGTGTTTCTGTCGACGTTATAATTGCAAGAAAACTTACACTGATATCCGAAATGAACACCAATTTGGTTGCAGACAAGAGACTTTGGCTATGGATCGAGAACGTCTTAGAAACGCTGGATGTATAATCTCTTTCACTTACCACTAAGATTATGTTACCAAGATAAAACCTTTCTTGTGGTTCCTGTTAAAGACAGCGGTCTGTGGCCACAGTGGCTCTGCAGTGTTTAAGAATGAAAGGGTGTGAATCAGACGAAATAATTAGTATCAACAGTATTTTCAAAGAGTTGTTGCACTTTCACATGCGCCGATTCTTGTCACATTTGTGATGGAGCAAGTGGCCTGAACCAACTTGGCCCGTATAATGCCAATATTGAGTTTGTACAACAGACGATGTGACGAGACCAAGTAAACAAACCCAGCATAAAACCTCGCTAAAAATAGAGACTTGGCTTGGTGCCTGAATGCGCCAAATTGAGCTTGTGACATGCATCTCCCCGTCAGTGCGAATGCCCTCAGCTGCCTTATGCATTCCAACAAGGCGCATGACACCGCAAACAATAGTGTCATGGCATTGTTTTACCAACTGCATAGAATTCTGTCGCAAACATTTTAAGATTCATCTGTTTTGATGAGGCATCGGAAGATCCCCCTGGAGGTGGTATTTGGCCTAACCCGTTGCAGGCTCATTTAATTTCAACTGAAACATCCATGTCAAGGACCCGCACGCCATCGACTCCTTACAATATGGATGTCTTCCCTCGCCCTGTAGCTTTGACCAATCGTTCACCTCTCCCCACTCACTCTCTTTTTTGCTGCCTTGCACTCTCAATGAGAGAGAGCATTGCGTTCTCTACAGGATGGCAGCCCATTCGCCTCAGCTCAAACGCCGCGGGTCGGTAGACCAGCTCTTCGAGCTGGTGGAAGGTCTTGACGAGGCCCAGATTCACACTCTCCTTGAAGACTTCAACAATACCGTCTCGAGCAACATTCCCGTCTCCCACGGCATCGACTTTTTCGAGCATCCCACGACGGGCGTGGCCAAGACCAAGACTGCACCTGCGCGATCATCGTCGATTCGAAAGTCGTTTAAGCAACTTCCTAGATTGTTCACGCGCACGCCGAGCAAACGAGCTGTCTCTGCACCGATTGCGCGTCCGAAAACAGCGGCGCCGACGACGAAGCACTACAGACGGATCAGTCGACCTGTACTACCGACGCTTTCGAGTGGACCGGACTTAGATGCTCTGCTCTCAGCGTATCTTGCGCCAGCTCCGCCGCCGTCGTCTTCACACAAGACCATTTCTCCATCGCGATCGATATCGAGTAATTCTACATTGAGCCTCGAGGCAGAGGATTCTGGCGTTGATTCACTGGCACCGCTTGTATTCGGTCGACCGCAGCGAGAAGCGAGCCCAATGGGCGATATTATGGAAGTGCTCTCGTTCTAAGCACCGAATAACTATGGACGAATAATACCTGCCAACACGGCACTTGGATGTACGTCCACCACGACAGTAGTGATGCAACCACTACAACAACACTATTTGCTAGCTCTGCTTTGACATTGGCTCGGCGTTTTTCTATTCTGTACGATCATTGGAGGCGTTTTTAAAGCTCTTTGCTAGTCAGGTACTAGACTGTCTGTCACCCAAGGGGAGGTCCACTTTCTACTACCAACCATCCATATCATCCAATACTGTTTGTACTCAATGGATTCACGAATTCATTATAACTGCCCAACTACGTACCAATCTACTATACCCTTTCTTTTTTATGCATTTGCTCCTTGACTTCAGGCGTTGAAGAGTGTTTACTGTAGCGTATTTGCCCGCATTGACTGTGCACATCGTCATCTCGTAAGGCGTTAGTGCAGTGGGCCTCCTTAGACGACCTAGACGACATGTCTTGGCAGAACTGGGCTTGTAGGCTTGCTCCTTGTTGGGGATCGTACTGCTGTATCGTCATTTCAGTGTCGGTGCCCTGCTCAAAAGACTTGAGATCACGTATCAGGGGCCAAGAACAACTTCACTAAACCGTTTCCCTAAGTTTATCCTCACCTATCATGAGTTATCCTCAAAACATACTGAATTTATCCTCAACTATACTAAGTTATCTTGAAGTTATACTAAACTTCCCCAAGTAAGATAAGTTCTCCTAAAGTCATATCAAGTTTACCCAAGCATTCATTTGGGTCTTGCTCTCCCCTTACTTACCGATGACCATACCACGTGACCCCACACACACTGGAAGGGCTATCGTGGGCTTGGGCCTGAGGGAAACCACACAAAGATTTAGAGACAGAGCAAAGTCATTCAACAACATCGTCAATTTGTCAACTTGCCAACTTTCAAAGATTTCGAACATGGGACGCGGCGATCTTCCGTCCGTCGCCGTTGGGGAGGTCTTTGATGAGAATCAACAGATCATGGATCTCGTCGAGAAACTTACCGCAGAGAAGCAGCAAAGCAAGGCCCAGCTGCAACGCGTTCTTCACAGGATCTACAAAAACATCGCCGCATACGGTGAAGCCCTAGATCTCAAGTCCAGTGTTGAAGCTTATGTCTACGATGGATGGCGAGGTCTCCTGAACCCCATCAAAGTCATCCTGAAACTGCCCGGTACCGACTTTGTAGGCGCCAGGATGTGTTTGTTTCTCGGTGCAGAACTCATCTGCCACTTTGGTACGCGTAAATAGTATGAAGGCGCCACAGCAGATGAGGAGCTTGCCGATCTATATGAGCTTTGCACAGAGATTGATGATGTTCTCCTCGGCGCTCTGCGTACGATCTGGATTCGTAGCGGGCAGACCGAATCCTTTGAATGGGTATTTGCAGATCATCTAATTGGCAAACCGCTTGGGAACTTTGAGTGTTGGGACGCCAAAATCGCCGTGTGTCTGTCACTCGACGAGTACAAACGCCGCTTCAAAGTGACACGCAGAGGAGAACGATACTACTATTCCGAACTAACCCTCGAGGGGGATCGGCAAGTCTACGCAGAATCGAAACTCTACAAAGGCCCAAAGCCACGATGGGATCTCGAGGAAGGGACAGGCCTGAATCCGGAATGGAAGTGGAGGGTTGCAGGAAACGCCAGGCCCATCGCCGGTGATATCAAGTACACTTTTCAACCACTAGCCACGAAATATTGGGACTGCTATGTCTGTCGTCGTTCTTGGCAGTTTTGCCTAGACGCTCAGCAGATCGCGGAAGCAAATCTCGGTACCCAACGACAAGAACTCCTGAACGACATCTGGCTCCGTCACCACATCCCACGAGAGATTCAAAGGGAGATTCTATCATATCTCCCACCCCCACACCGCGAACCATTCCCCTATCTCAAGAACCTCGACATTGGAGCAGCTTACACTCCCTTCCCTACAGTCGGCGAGAGATGCCTGGACTGTGAGAATATGGATGAGGACTCAGCCATTCGACGCACATGCCCTCAAGCAAGTCTTTACACCTGGAACTTTGCTCTACGGTGTTTTCATAGCTTTCACAAGAATGAACTCAACCAGTGGTCTCTATGTAGTCACGGTAGTGATTGCAAAGGTCACCACAACTGCAGCGACCACCGTTGGGCTGTTCTCAGAGATCCCGAATTCTCCCTGTTCATTGAGAAGGAAGCTTCTCGAGGCAATGATCAATTCATTTCGCTGGATCAAATTGGCCTTGGGCCCGTTCAGCATATTCGCCTCAATAAGGCGGAGGATGAGATTCGATCCAAACGACTTAAGAATGGATCCTTGATCTACTTTGAAACCCACCGAGACTGGGAGATGACAGGTGGTCTGGGCGGCTTGGTAGACAGCATGCTGCACGGAGGAGTGCTGACCAAGGCATGGAGCCAGGGATATGACGACGGAGGCGCCGACGACGGAGACGATGATCAACGGAACAGCAATGATCAAGAAGAGGACGGCGACGATGGTGATGGAGACGATGACGAAGATGGTGAAGAGGACGACGGCGATGAAAATGAAGAGGATAGCGAGGATGATGATGATGATGACAATGGAGAGGATGATGACGATGGACGCCCTCGCGAAGCTGGAACGCGCAGAAATCGGAGCCAGTGGGCTCTGGGCCGGAGCATGCTCGCCCAGAGTGTCGCGGAGAAGGTGGTCAAAGACCTCCACTCGTGGCCAGGACGATGTGAGTGGTGCGAGTGATCTAGCAGAGGAGAACCTCGGGGAGGTAAGAAAGCTCGGGACCTTGACCTACAATAATGAAGATATTTAGGTCGTATGGCCTAAGTTTAGGGGACTTCTACTAAGTTTTGAGCCGAGGCCAACGTCTATCGAAGGAGTGGTCGAAGATACCGACACCACTTGCAAAGGACGGAAGGCTGGGATTATACTGGGATTGGGCTGGGAAATGTAAGAGTTTGTAATGGTTGCTAGTAATAATGCCATTCATGAAGTAATATTTGCGATTTCTTTGCCAGAGAACTTGAAGGCTTGAGTCTTGTAAAATCATCGAGAAATAACCATTTATGTGTCAAATCTGTGAGACCAATAATAGATGGGTGACAACGTAGAGTAACACAACATCATCAAGAGTTATGCTATGTGAGAAACGCGAGTCTATACGCTGTTTATATTGGTTCTCCTTGTAGTAATTTAGTAGAGTAGAAAATCAAAAGTTGAATTTATCAACAACCACAGTCTCTAGTGGCCTGCACTCTCAGCCACAGGACCCAACTACAGATGACGCGCCAGGCTGACAACAAAAAGCAATATGCCACGCAGCCACTACTTACAAGATAGTCTCATCTTTCGGCGCATAATTGCAGTTTAAAATTGATTAGCCTTTTACTCGTAATGGCCCTCTTTGATTGGAGTAGAAGGCTAATGATGACGCTATTCACGCGAGCTTTGTACTCTGGCTTGTCAGCCAATATAAGTCCTCAGTAACACATCAGCGATTGCAATTTCGGTGGATTGCTGGGCCTGTTTGGCTGGCCTCTTTGTTCCTGCACTGCCCTTTGAACAAGTCTGCTTAACGAGAGTAAGAGCTAGCCAAACAATACTTATCTATTCGCTCGAAAGCCCTACTGGGTGGTACGCTGTATGTTTGCTTCGGTAACCAATCTGAAGACGTAAAATGAAAAATCAGTGCGCACCCGACAAACAGTGCTGTGGCATATCACCGTGAGTCAGAAGCTCCTTCTTGTGTGACCTCGTTACTTCCACCCTCGGGGGCCAACAAATAAACTTAGCAAAAGTCATCCTAAGCTTAGGCTACCTTATATTACCTAAGTCCTTTTGACATTTAGGATCGAGGTCCCGTGTTTTCTTTCCTCCCCGCAAGGTATTTGCCTTCCTACCTACCTACCTACTTACCTATGGAAGGCACGAAGAAGACTTACGCTAGGTTCTCGGCTGGATTAAGCTCTCAGCCATAAGTCTCAAAAACAACAGAGCACCCTTACTCCGCAAAGATGGCAGACGACTTATTAATCTCTTCCAAACTCGACCGCATTCTACGCCTAAACCACCGCTTAACTAGGCTCATCAACGATCTAGCTCAGAAGACAGGAGACATCACCCAACCACTCAAGAACCTCCTCACACGACTTTATGACAGCTTCTCTAGACTTTCCGACGTCCTCAGCAGTAACTCGAACGATGGCCGGCTGACCGATGGACAACTGACCGATGAGGAAGTCTTCGGTGCCTGGCGTTCCTTCTTCCTACCTATCCAGGCACTGCGGCAACTTCCCTGCGGAGAGTTCGTGGCAGCGAGATTGCTCCTCTTCACTGGATGGAAGTTTACTCAGGCACCTGGGTTGAGACTGAAGTACAAGGGGGAAACCTTGGTCGAAGAGACAAAACCCTTGCATGAATTCATCGCCGATCTCGATGATGCACTCCTTGAGCCGTTAAAGAAGATGTGGGAGCTCAGTCAATCTCGCGAGCAATTCGACTGGGTATTCAATGATTTTAATATCACCCACTATGAAGAGATGAGCGAAGGCGAAGCGCTTGCACTTTCTCCACAAGAGCTCAAAGATCTCGGTGGTATCCGAGGTATGAAGTATTATTACCGCGACCCAAGCGAGTCTAAGCGATACACTCTTTACAAAGGACCGATCCCCCGGTGGGACTGTGGTGAGCAAGACTGGGATGATTTCGAATGGAAGGAAGAGGGTTCTGATGGTCCTCTAAATGACTTGTTGGAGTATAACTACCGGGACGATGATGCGCCTGATGTTAACTTCGCCAATAACTTTCATATCTTTCGCCGATCGCATCAATTCTGCCTGGATGCCAGGCAAAAGTCTGAAGCCCACATCGGGCGGCAGCAGCATCAAACATTTGACGACGTCGCGCGTCACCTTGGTCTCCCTCCGGAAATGCGCAACAAAATCCTAAGCTACGTCGAATACCGCGATCCATTTCCATACCTGGAGAAGCTTGATCTCGCAGAGGCATATGTTCCCTTCCCTAAAGTCGGCGAGCACTGCACCCGTTGCGACACCATCGAAGGAGAATCGACCACCCAACGTACTTGTCCTCAGAAAGCCATACACGTATGGAACCTGGCCTTGCGACGGTTCCACACATTCCATAGGAACAGCTGCAAACAATGGTCTCTTTGCACCCAGCACGACTGCGCCGGACACCACGAGGACGAAGAAGACTGGGAAGTCACAGGAGAGCCTGAGTTTACCAGATATCTCGAGTCCCTAGCTGCACGAGGCAATGATGAGTTTGCATCTCTTGATCAAGTTGGCCTCGGGCCCATGCACCCCATCCGACTAGAGGTAGAAGCCGACACCGTAAGGGAATATTCGCTTTTCGGAGGCAACGGTATCTATGGCAACTCAAGCGATGATGCAAGGATGATAGGAGGTCTCGGGGGATTGAAGGACGCCATGATCCACGGACGTACCCTAGTCGCTGCATGGGAGGGATATGACGATGATTCCATTTTCTATGTCGGTGCTCAAGCCTGGAAACCGTTTTGGCAGTACGGTCGTAATTTGTACGATGAAAAGGTCGCCACAGTGGTTATCAAAAGGCTACACTCGGAGGATGAATGTGAGTCGTGTGTGGAGGCAGAGGAAGAATTCAATGAGTTCCCATTGATTTCTGTTTGAGGATATTTCTGTCCCAGGGTGTATAGTGTGGTACGCAAACTTGGAGGGCTAGATGATATGAAGGCCTAAATTAAGCTCAGGTAGCTAATAAGACTCCAATTCACCGATGATATGAAGTGTAGCTTCGGGAGGACGTATTTGTCACAATCATGTACGGTATTGTCTCTATCAGCAGTCAAAACTCAGACATAAGTCTGAAACGTTCCCGCTCCTTTTTCAGGGAGTCAAAGAACCTATGCTGCAACAGCTCCTTGGCAGTCTTCCTTTTCTCGGGCACCCATTGGAGCATAGATGAAGCAAAGTCCACGAACACATCTTTCTCATCCCCTAATAATTCAGTGACAGTGTCCCCCAGCCTCCGTGTTTGTACCGTAAGATCTTTGTGCATGATTTCGCCTGTTGTAGAAAGGTTGAGAGATCAGCTTTAGCCATTCCAACCAGATCATATCATCACTGGACTTACCATGCTCATCAAAGAAAGGTCCTCCCCAATACTCGTTCATAGTCTCACAGCTCCTGCCCCTTGGGTTTTCTATTGTTCGGCCAAGCTTTAGCTTGCGGTAGACACGTTCCCTATTGATCAATGTTTCAGGAGGGTCCCCCAACAGAGAAACGATCTGAGCTAGATGGATGTGCGCATCGTAATCACCATCGTCGCCAACAATGTTCTCAAACAGGCTAGTGTTCTCTAACATATTCCACATCTAGTTATGTCCAAGCATTAACGTGATGTTCTTTTGGGGAGATAGAAGTTACTTACAAAAAGACCAAAGTTCCAGATGTCGACGCTGTATGACCATGGACATCCAAGTAGCACTTCCGGGGCACGGTAACGGTGAGACTGGATGGGCGATAGATGGCCTTTATTGCCATCTAGTCCTGGAAAGCTTTGATTGAAATCAGCCAGAGCTGGCAAAACCATGTTACCTCGCAATGGACCAAAGTCATCCTGTGAGAGATATATTACACGGCCATCGTCAGCTCGGACATGCCTAGGCTGGGGATTTGTGGTCAGGCTCTTGACGAAATCGGCCAACACGGAGTCGTTTTCGATCGTCACCAGGATATTATCGTCCTTGATGTCTTTTGGGAATAGAGTTAGTAACAGTACCCATGGGACAGTCTGAGACTTTACCTGTGTGGATCAAATGGCACTCGATATGTAAATAGTCTAAAGCTTGGAGGATGAGAAATGCATAAGATTTGAACAGAGGCAAAGGAAGCCTCTGTTGTGGTAGCCTGCGTTGCCAATGATAGAGAGTCTCCCTCATAGGTTTGTAAACAAGACAGAAGTGAGTTCCTTCTGGACCCTCTAACTGGAATTCATCAATTGGTAGTCGGATGAAAGACAATCCTGGATGGGAGGTATTGGTGCTGGAGATGAGTTTTGAGCGTTTCGATTCACCAGAAGCATTGGAATCAATAGTTGGTATCTTAATGCTAACATAGCGAGGAATATCTGAACTCCAGAACTTTGAACTACCATCCACAGAATTTAATTGTTCAGCATACAGCGACAGACAGACAGACAGACAGACAGAAAGGGAGGGAGAGGGACAGATAGAGAAGAATTCTGGCGAAACTCACAACTTGAGATTTTCAGCTAGCCAGACAGTAGACCCGGCACCAAAATCAAGCTTTGCAATTGCCTTGAACCTGCCGTCTAGTACATCCCCAGATCGAGTCGGATGGAAGTACTTCAACCTTTCCTCGTAGAGAAACTCCTCGTCGACTGGCTCGTTGATCATGTGAGTTGTAGTGCCGTTGGATATACTCGAAAGTTGTCGACTCCAGAAACTTGGCATTTTGCGTAAGGATGTCGTCATCAAACATTTTTGGAAGAATATAGGAGCAAAACTGGCGCTCATTTTATTTGATACGGTGTTAGCCATGAGTCTATTCAAATTCAAGATGTTCAGGCCAAAGCTATTGAGAATATCGCAGGACCAAAAGTGAAGAGACTATGGTCTGCTTGCACGAGAGGAAAAGAAGAGCTATCCACGTGACCGCGGGAAACTTGTTGGAGTTCCGTCTTGATTAAGAACGTCTATTAATGCACGCTACTTTTATATCGGTATACGAGCTGGATGGTACGTCTTGTTTCTAAGTCACTGCAGTGTTTCAAATTGCCTCACAGCTGGGTCGAATCAATACGCTTTGGTTGGGCAGTAGCGTGAAACGTGCTGTTAAATCACGGTGTATACAGGCTATAGTGCCACGGGCCATATTAGTAGAAATTAGAATTCCAATAACCTTTTAATTGCTAGTGCTAAGGAAAGAACTCAGGCGTGACCACTCGGCGCGGAATTTTGGAAGGTGACGGATTCGTAATTCGGCGAACTCCAAGAACAGACAAGGATGTCTTGGTACATGACCTGATCATGCACTGGGTCACACGAATAGCTTCTTTGAGCATAGGTAGCAGGCACTTGAGTAATGCCAAGAATCTGACCAGATAACTTTATTCGCTCTTTAGGCGAGTCGTAAATTTGTGGCTTGGTTAGATCAGATAAGATAATCTCAATCAGGACATCCATACTCTGTACGCGACATCCAATGGCCTCACTTTAGCGCTCGCCAAGACACTTGGGAGAGCCGACCTCGGGACCAACAGGAGAGAAAACTCTGCACCTTTAATAAGTGAGTGGTTTATAACTACGAGTTCCATGAGGAGTAGCGACACGTTTCATCCGCAACTCCTAGCCGCAGACCTGTTATTGAACCGTTGACGATGGACAAAACAACTGCCACCATCGAGCTTGATCAAAAGGATGATCCCAATCCTCCAATAACACCTCAAGCTGCCCCAAAACTCCCGGGAGTCCTGCGCGTGGAAGCAGCAGCTAGCAAGCTCACAACGCCCAAACGATGGATCTTCTTCACCAGCATCTTCTTCTTCAGCTACGCCCTCAACCTTGACTTCCAGACACGAAACACCTACGTCCCCTACGCCACATCATCCTTCGGCAATCACTCCCTCCTGGCTACGGTCATTGTCATCCGTGAAGTCGTGGCCTCTGCTATCCAGCCCTCGGTTGCCAGGCTGACTGATGTCTTTGGCCGCATTGAGATCTTTACCCTTGCTGTCGTTTTCAGCTTGGTCGGGACGATCATACAGACGTATTCGGCAAACATTCAGACTTTTGCTGGTGGTGCCGTGCTGCATTCGCTCGGGTACAGGATCTCAATTCTTACTATTGAGATCATGATTGCAGATTTCACGTCTATGAAGACGAGGCTGTTCTTTGCTTTTGTGCCTAACTGGCCTGCCCTTGTCAATATTTGGATAAGTGGAGATATCACATCTGCTATCCTTTCAGTAACTTCCTGGAAATGGGGAATTGGCATGTTTGCAATCATTAACCCGATCTGCGCTTTGCCTCTGATTATCTTCATGTTCGTCCTCGGCCGTCAGACGAAGCGTTCAAGACTGGAGCAGGAGACTCTTGGATCTTCCTCTTGGACTGCGTCTCTCAAGGCAATCTTTTGGGAGCTTGATGTCATTGGCGTGCTGCTCTTGACAGCTGCCCTAGCTATGACATTGATCCCTCTCACGCTGGCAGGCGGACAGAGCGCCAAGTGGAGGGATGCCAGCATCCTGACACCTCTCATCATCGGTCTTATTCTTTTCCCAATTTTCGCCATATGGGAAAGGAAAGTAAGTCACCCAATGCTTCCAATTCACCTCCTCAAGCACCGGACCGTATGGGGTTGTCTCGGCATCAGTGCTATCTTCCCGATCGCCTTCATGGTCATTGGAAGCTATCTGTTCAGCTTGCTCGTGGTATCTTACAACTTTACCGTCAAGGACGCTACTCGAGTGGCGTTACTCTATCAGTTCTGCGCTATCATTGTAGGCTCTCTTCTCGGCCCAATCATCATCAAGATTCGACGCCTCAAGGAAGTCATCTTGACTGGCATTGCACTCTTTTTCGTTGGGTTCGGACTTATCCACCACTTCCGAGGTGGCTCTGGTTCCAAATCTGGAGTCATTGGCGGAGAAGTCATGATGGGAATTGCTGGTGGCCTTTTCTCTTGGCCAACACTTGTTCTTATCCAGACCGTTGCTCGACACGAGTACATTGGAGTCTTGATATCTCTCGTTTTCACTGCAAACGCGATCGGCCAAGCCATTGGTGGTTGTGTGTCTGGCGCCATGTGGACACAGACTCTGTACAAAGAGCTTGAGAAGAACCTTGCACCATTTGGCAATGACACGCTGGCTTCAGCTGTGTATGCTTCGCCTTTGACTGTCGTCCCTCAATATCCTTTGGGATCGCCTGAGAGAGAGGCTATGGGCTTGAGCTATCGATACATCCAAAGAAACTTGAGTATTGTCTCGTTATGCCTCGTTGTACCTATGCTTGTTCTTGGACTATGTCTTCATAATCCTACACTTTCCGATAAGCAAGCTCAAGTGGACGAAAATGTCGAGTCTCCGAAAGAGCAGAAGCAGATTACTGGCAACTAAGCACAGATGCTCGAACCTAAGTTCTGTCTCATGAAAATAAGCTGTCTGCCACAAGTCTCAACTAGTACATCTAGCTCATAACTTAGGCATTATACACAGCGTCTACCTAATTGTTACAGCACAAGTTGGGATAGATAAGAAGCCTGTATTATAGCTAAGATGAACTCAAGAATACTGTCTAAATAGCCACTTCTCAAACTCCACCGTGCCATTACCATTGGGAGCTTTTTCTTCACCAGTATTCCATCTCAGCGAAAAAGCGCCGAAACTACCATGCTTTTTAGGCTCCAAGACAAACGACTTCAATCTCGACGTCTCTGGACTGTCTTCTCCCTCACAAATAAGCCTGGCTCGATAAGATCTATCAGCGAATGTAATAGCCCGGCCGACATCTCCATGCGAAATGCAAATCTGAAAGGCGTTGTAGTAGAGCCGCGCAATGTACGGCGTGTCACAGACACCGTATTCCTCCTGGAGAGTATGAAGTAGTGACAAGCAGTCTTTGAGGCTGGCCTTTGGATTATTCCTCATAGTAGAGGCGTTTCCAATGCTAGCATAAAGCTGCTGGATTCTCACTCGACGATCATCGCTAGCTTGGAGTTCCGATGGAGGCAGAGAGCATAGAGAGCATGCGCAGTCGAAGCCGAAAGACATTTTGAGCTCGTGTTTTCGCATATTTGATGGGCCTCCTTCGTCATAAGAGATGGTAATCTCCTCTCCTGCCTTGATGGGCCCAATAGCATAGATGGTCCCGTGATTTGCCTTGCTCTCCCAGTTATTATGTGAGTTTGGCAGACAACTGTGGTTGATTAAGGATATCGTGGCATAGACACCGCCCACAATCGAGCCTGGTCCACATGGAAGGGCATTTGTTCTGATGATCCCGCTGAAAGGGTCTTCGCCAGGAAAGCTGTTATGAAGAGACAGAAACTCCTGTTGCTCTGACTTGGACAGGGCCTTCAGCCTCGGCGCCGCAGTGGCCTCCAAGTTGCCTGGGCTCATAGTACTAGCTACGAGAAGTGGCTTTTCGCAAAAGATTTGGGTTCCAGCAGGAATATCAAATCTGGCGATAAGGCCTCTACCCTTTCCAGGGATAACCCCAACTTCGAAAAGGAGTCCATAAATGGAACTCGGTGGCTGAGAGTGAATCATTAGAACATGAAGGACATGTGCATAGCTTTTTGACATACCTGCTCGTAGAGCCTATAAGAGTCATTGACTTCCTTCTCAGAATAGTAACCGGATTCACCAAGTGCACTTTGCCATGACCGAACACGAGAACCGAAATAGTCGCGGGCAATATCCGTTACTAGGTTGATGTGGAATTCTACGTGGGAATCGTCATCCGGTATAGAACTGAAGCGCAGAAACTTGTGGCCTTCGAGAGGAAGGAGGAGTTGTTTCCCTTCTTCAAATACCATGTAGTCGGCCTTGATCTTGAATGCACTCTCATCTTTGTAGACGGTCTGGACGTGCTCGATGAATTCTTCCCATATCTCTTGGTCCTCATACCCTGAGAGGCGAGGAACCATGTCAAACCCAGACACATGGACCATTGCGAAAACGGGTACCGAATCTTGTCATATGCAAATACCAATTCCGGGATATGGTCTAATAGATGAGGGGATGATACTATGATTGAGTGAGGATCCAGATATCGGAGTGAAGGATGTTGCAGTGAAATCTCAAGAGCAAGAGACAGAGAGAGACCACTGGCTTAATATTTGTTGGTAAAGGAGACGGGTCAGGATATGTCATGAACAGATGAGTTGGTAAGTTTGAGTAAGTACATAAAGTCCAATTGCAATAATTCACCTAGCCTGCTGCCTATCCTGCCTAAGTATTCTTCATCTTGATGTTTGTCCAGTTTGGTATAACGCCCCAAGTTGTGAGCTCTTAGATGTGTTATTTGCGTTTGAGACTTTTGGCTTAGACCTTAAAATCAGCACACAGAACTTGGTCAAAATTGATGGACAATCTCATGACCTGTCTGCGGACACAATCTCACAAACCAGGCTGCCTACCCTAATTGTAATGTTGTTTATAGCCGCAATCAGACAAAGGAGCGTGACATACTGCGAGATACATGATTGAATTGCAGCACAGATTTCCAAAGGCTATCCTGATTGCTAGTTTTGACAAGTCGTAAACGCTCAAACAAAAGCGAGTGGGCTCAGAAATTTCTGTTATGCAGACAAATACCGACAACTAAGCTTATCGACAATAAGGTATTTCCAAGCATGATCTCTTGATAAAGAAACATTCGATTCGGGCCTTAATGAAGAATTTATCGCGATATGTCACAAGCGATTGGCCGTAAAAGGTTTTCTCATTTGGCTAGGACGCCCTTTGTCTTGTCAAGGCGGATATAACGCCCGGGTATAGTTGAACCGGCTGTTTCGCGCATCGCGCCCTGCAAAACCTTCCCTCAGGCGTCATCGGAGCTGAATTGACTTTTCTCACAGTGACAGACTTTTTTTTAAGCCTCCTTCTAGAACAATTCTAGACTAGAAATGCCGCCGCCGTGCAGATATTTTCCTCTAGCTCCAACACATGTGATATGATGCCTCACAAACCACCGACCTTCCGAGGCCGTATTAGTCCACCACTTAATTCGTATCATCACTGCCTCAAAAGAAAACAAGTTTAGGTCTAGATAGCACGGACATGTCTTACCCAACTATTACACCAAGCTTCTAGTCAGGATAACCAGACACGTAAATTATCCCGAGGGGAGCCGCATCTAAGAAACTCTACGCGCGCCTCGGCCGCCGCCGGCCAAATTCGCATCACGTAAAAGTTACCACTTAAAACTCCACCACGCGGGATCGTCTTGTGTAATGGAATCCTCGCTATCAACTGCTTTTACGTACAACTTCCACCGGCGGGTTCTTACCCCAGCGTGGAGAAGAGGATATTCCCCAGACCTTGGCGTTCCTTTAAATCTGGGATCTTTGCTTTTCTTTTTTCCCTGAGGGCAGAGTTGACAACTCTGAGTTATTCCTTGTTCAGTACCATCATCATTTTTGCTCTTATTGTTGTTCTAGTACTTGCCCTGGAGGTTGAGACTGAGACTTCATCATGGATACCATCACACCACAGACTGCGTCCAAGAACGCGACCAACAAAGACTCTACCCTTGATCCTGATCAAATCGCTCGCATCGACCATTCTTACGACCAAGCCATCGGCACAGTAACCGACTTCGAGAAACAGAAAACCGCTGAAGGCGAAGCTCACTTCCGTCGTCTAGGATGGAAGCGACTCGCTGTTATCCTCATCGTTGAGGCCATTGGTCTTGGAACATTCAGTCTTCCAGGCGCCTTTGCGACACTCGGCATCGTCGCGGGTGTGTTTTGCTGTATTGCCTTGGGCTTTATGGCTATCTACACAGCGTGGATCATTGGAAAGATTAAGGTCTTGTATCCTTCGATTAAACATTATGGAGATATTGGTGGCTTGCTCATGGGCAGGTTTGGTGAAGAGTTGTTCGGCGCTATGTATGTGCTGCAACTCATCCTCATCACGGCCTCTTTCGTCCTCACGGGCAGCATTGCTCTGAACATCCTGGCCGATGATAAGGTTTGCGGTCTTATCTTCAGCGCTGTGTCGGGCTTTATGCTCTTCATCCTAGCCATCATGCCTTCGTTCGCCGAGGCCGCCATCTTGGGTTACATCGACCTGGTCTGCATCATGACAGCCATTGGTATCGCAGTCATCGCATCCGGCGTGAATGCTTCCAACCAGCCCGGTGGTATTGGTGCTTCAGACTGGTCTGCTTGGCCTGACCCTGATGCTACTTTCAAGGATGGCATGGTGGCTATCTGCAATATCATCTTTGCTTATTGCTTTGCCATGTACATGACCCCTTTCATGGATGAGATGCATACACCTGAAGACTTTATGAAGTCGGTCTGGACTCTTGGAGGTGTCGAGATCTTTATCTACACCCTCAGCGGTTCGCTTATCTATGTCTTCGTTGGCAAGGACGTGGCCAGTCCTGCTCTTCAGTCTTTACCTGGCATTCTACCCAAGGTGGCCTTTGGTGTGGCTCTCCCCATGATCTTCATCTCGGGCGCCATTGGCAATACCGTTACAGCCAAATATGTTCATCTGAGATTCTACAAAAACTCAATCGTTCGCTTTGTCAATACACCCAAGGGTTGGGTTACTTGGCTCCTTACTCTTGCTGGCATCACGATCATCTCTTGGGTTCTCGGCGAAGCAATTCCCTTCTTCAACGACCTTCTCTCACTCAGCTCGGCCCTTTTCGTATCTGGTTTCATTCTGTACTTCCCAGCAGTGATGTGGTACAAGCTTATATGCAGAGGCAAGTGGTATGCTAGAGAAAATATCCTCCATGCCGTTGCTTGCATCTTTACCTTTTTCTTTGGCCTTTTGGTTCTCGTTGGCGGAACATATGCCACAGCTTTGGATATCGTAAGTCGTCTATCCATCTTACTGAGAATATCTGACCGACGCGTACTATAGCAACATCATTATGAGATCGGAGCTTTCCGTACACCATTTTCATGCGAGGCGTAAGAGGTTGCTTAGAGTTAAGGTGTAAATTGTAGAAATCTACTGGGGATAACTTGTCTCTTTCGTATAAGTGTACAATATGTAAAGCGAATGGAATAATGTAATGAGCAATGGCGCTCAAGTTTACTATACTCACCATATTGGTTCTGATCGCACACTCTTCGATTTACCGAACTTCCTCCCTCGCGAGTCCCTTGGCACCGAATACCCGGTATCCATATGGCACTCTGGGGCCGAAGCTATGCGCGAGTGATGATTAACGTTGCCAGATCTACCTGTATAGCTGGCAAGGGCCGACACTGGTTCGCTTAGACGAAGGGAATTTGATGATAATACGTAGTCTCATCACTCATGTAATTGGTCAACGGCGATCTACGACGCTATGTACCGTTTGGGAAACAACAAGCGACACATTCAATTGGCTGAGATTGGTGCTGGGCGGGATGATTTCAGTTTATTAGTGTCAATCATCATGACTACATACAGTCCACAATGTCCTTAAGCCACAATAGACTCCTGAGAAAGAATACAAGATACCCATATGTCGGATACTCAGTATATATAGTCCGAAGTAAAGGCGGGGTTACGCGACCTTTCCCCCACGATTGTTGATGCCATGACGTTCAACTCCTGATCAGGGATGGGCCCTGAATGATAGCTTGAGACCCCACGCTTCTTGGTACTAATTTTCTGAAAAGACCAGTCATAGCTACCTGCGCAAATAGGGGCTTGTCTCCCTTCGCCATCTTTGACAAGTATCCGTACGTCATAAAGGTATGTTTCGCTGTGGAGCGTCCCATCCCATGCCTCATTCACCACCACCACCACCACCTCTCGTAACTTATCAATCGTGTGAGCCGAGAACTGACAGTGCTTCAGACTTGATTATTATTTAGAAATATAGGGTAGTCATTCATTCGTTGCCAGTTCCGAGTAGCTCTGGCCGAAAGGCTCGCGATATTCAAAGTAAGTAGATCAGGAACTAGAATAATAACTGAATCGACCATATCCCAGCTCTTGGTATCGCTCCCGAATCCAATTTCTGGTCCTCTTCTTCTCGGCCCTTTCCTCTCCAGTCTCTTCCTCTTCCTCATCATCATCGTAGTCGCAATTTCTGCAGCGTGATTTAAGAATCTCAAGATAAGCATCTGCATACTCTCCTCCGATACACAGCGGACAGACAACGCCATGCCAATAACATTGCCGATGAAACTCTGTTTCATTACAGAACATGAGGGCTTCTTCACGATTCGTAGGTCTGGCTGAATCCAAATAGCGGTCGCCGCCACATAAAGAGCATTCTCCATCTTCGCATCGTGCAATCATATCTGGAACCCGGATTTTGCGAAAGAGAAAATCCCCTTCGAAGCGTAGGTGAGAGACAGGGATTGAGTATGAATCCTCCTGGACAGTTTTGGTGATGACGAAATAATATTTTTCATCTTTATCAACCCAATCCTGTTTGGGGTCGAGTTTATAGGAAGGCTTATGAAGACACCTATTGTAGGCGTTGATCCTGTTTCCATCTGTGAGATCCCCGCATTTCGTCCATTCTTCAAGGACATTGCAGACCAAATAAGACTCGGTTCCATTGCCATTCGGACTGCCGTTCGGAGACCCAGGAGTTATTGCAACACCGTAAACTGGCTTATAGGTATTCTCATCGCTATAATATTCTACCCGTTCTATGATATCCAACCATAGTTCAGGCGGTAGAGTTTTGTTGCCTTGCTTCGTCGTGATGTTAGCGGAACCGTGGGCCAGGATGTTGCGAAGATAGCTTGCGCCCCAGCAGTCTACATCGAGAATAAGAATCGAGTTGAGCTTGACAAGGCGTTCGAGATCTTTAGATTCTACGGGCAACATTGTGGTCAGACCTCTACCGAGGTTATGGAGGCTGTAGTTATTGTTGTTGTTTCCGAGGTTGAGGTTGATTCTTCCTCAAAGATACAAAGGTTGAAGAGGTAAAAAAGAAAGGGTACGGTAAGGCGGTCACGTCCAAGATTTATAGGCAGAGATTGCGATTGTACTTTTCCTTTTGAGTTATTTCTGTGCTTTGTGATCAAAGTTCAGTGGCGATCTAAGTTCTGCATGGTGAATCCATCAGCCACGAGGCTCAACTGCATCTAGCTCACAACTTGGACATTATACTATAATGACTAAATTGATTGCTACAGTAAAAAGCTGATATAATGAAAAGCTATAGCCTTATACTTTACAAAGCTTTAAGGTGCATTCACGTTCTTGGGTCCGAAGGTTTTGTCTGTAAGGGCATAAGAAATTGGAAAACACGCATGTAAACTCTGTCGTGCTAACGAGCCAAAGAGAATATCTGGTTCCAAGTATTGTAAGAATATTTCCAAGGTTCAAAGTTACAATGAAAATAGTAGAAAGGCGAGACGAGACCAGCCGCCCATCCAACTCGAAGCCATGTATATAACTACTCCGCATAGTACATAAGCCGATAGAAAGAATCGTGTTTAAATAAAGAAGTAGGGCCTAAGGTACCTGGAGTGAGTTTCCCATTCTTGAAGTATACTGAATCAACAATGGGGAAAGAATGCTAGACTTCATGCTTCAGACAGGCATGCTGTAGGTTTGGTCACTTCTTAATCTCTTCAAGTATCCCATCGAACCTTGTTCTTTAATTTTAGATCCCAAGATAGCTTAACTTATGCCACCTCAGCTTTGCCGAGGTTACATGAAATCGTATTCCAAAGCGCAATCTTATCCGCAGAGTTTCACAAATTTTTAGCGAGTTATTCCCACTCAAAAACCACAAAACACATTCAGGCAAAACTTATACCCCCTTGAAACACCCGCCAACAACCCTAGTAAAACACGTTTCCATATTTCGACAAGCAAATTATTTTTCAACCAACCGAATGGCAGCAGATAAGGAATCAAAACACAAACGAAACTACAAACCGTCCGATGCCAAGGCCTGCCACGCCGCTTAGGTCGGATCGAACTGTGAGAGAAGTGTTTCTAGAGTCGGCGTTTAAATGCATGTCATTCACCTGCCAGACGTTATTGGTGGGATTCTCATTCGATGTATGGTCGGAAATAGCCGAATAGGGCGTGACAGGCGGCTGTGGCTTTTCGCCAAAATAACCATTTTCGAGAAGCTTAAAACAATGACATGCTCGTGTATTGACTATGAAACGCGTGAAACTGACTCGAGTCGTTCCCTTCGGCCGTAATGGCCTTATCGTCCGACCCCTCAACCCGGTACTGATAGGTGCGCTTACTTCGCTTCGCTGTTCTGGATTAACAGGTTGACCGTGTTTTCAGGAATACCCTTGATGACGTCCTCCAGAGACATGGTTGCAATAAGGTTGCATAATTCTGACGCCTTGATATTCTTGGGGCCTAAAAGATAAGCCGCGAGGCCAGTGACGTGTAGTGTTGCCATTGATGTGCCTGACTCGAGTTTGACACCTCCTTTGATCCAGGTGCTCTTGATATCAATGCCAGGGGCGAAAATGTCTACCAAACACCATAGTTGGAGAATGAGGCTCTTGTGTCGTTCTCGGCGGTTGCTCCAACAGTACAGGCCATGGGCTCATTGCTTGGCGAAACTTGAGATGCGTCTGTGTCATCGTTGCCAGCCGCTACAGCGAGAAAACAACCCGATTTGACAATATATCTAGCAGCTGCGTTTATAGCAGGTGAAGGAGCAACACTAAAAGACATGTTGAACACAATACCCTTGAGACACTTTCGAGTAGCAGCATCTTCAGCGATAAAATCCATGCCAGCGAGAATTCCCGATCTGCGGCGAATTATTTTCAGTAACATTCACATGATTACCAAAAGATGAATAAACTCACGATTGACCCGCTGTATACTCATTTAGAACCTTGACAGCGAAGAGCTGCGTCTTCTTTGCGACACCGTACGTTTTAGACCCGAAGGTGCCCGCAATATGAGTCCCATGACCATTTGCATCCAAGTCAGCATTATCAACAAAGTTCTGCACGAATCTGGCGCCACCTTCGAGTTCCTGTTGCTTGGGTTAGCTTGTTTCAATTTACCGCCTTGCATAAATGATGAGGTAAGGTACTGACAGGGTGGTCGACTTCGATGCCTGTGTCAAGAACATAAGTGCATGTGCCTTCGCCGGCACTTTCGTCATAGGTGTAAGTTGTATGATCCTTGCCTGGTAGTTTGTTGGAAATACGAGCTAGACCCTAGGGTGCGTTTTTCTGGGTAGATACTCCATGCATGGTGGAGACTTTTTCGATGAAATCGACGTTGGGGTCGTTGAGTAGATCTTTCAGCTCGGGTTTAGTAAGGCTAGCTGAGAAGCTATTGAAAAGATTGTAGTAGGTGTATTCGGCATCCGAGGGAACTCCGGCAACTCTGCTAGTGATGGCTTTAGAAGCCACATTGGCCTTCATGACGGCTATGTACTTTCTTTCAGATTTATGCGCGCCACGAGGAATAATCAAAGGAGCGGCAATGAAAGCGTGAGCCAGAGAGAAAATATTGAGGGAGTGCATCGTGATAATGTGCCTCAAACTGTTGCAGTGACGGTTGACACGTGAATGACAATTGAGTTTTCTGAGGGGCGACTTGGTTCTTCATGATCGTTGATACCATAGACGCTAGCAGATGCCGATAGGGAGCATCTCTGTCTAGTGTTTTCTATCGAATCGACGTTCTTACTATTAAAGTGCAGTAAAGGAGTAATAACATTCTTTGATAGATCTTGTTGGTGGTGAATAATGACTCAGACTACCTACCCTACGCTAATGAGAAATTTAGCACTACAGGGATAATGTCTGTCCCCTATCTGGGCACTAACACCAACAAGAATTATCAAGGCGATCAGAAGCTCAAAGAGGGAGTAAAAGTTCTCAAATTTGAGAACTTTTGATCAAAAAGGACTTCTATTATACGTAGGTACTGAGACCACAATTCTGAATAACCTGAAGGACTGTTAAAACAGCCTTGGGAAAGCGTTGCTTGATGGTCTGGCGTTGACCAGAGTTAGCGGCCCGAGCTACCCAATTAGAGTTGAGAGGGAATACTACAGTGGCAAGTCATCTAAAATCTAAAATTAAACTCGTGCGAAATTTCGGCCGAAATACTTGTTGATAGTTTTTATTAAGACTCGGAGGGCCACTAATTTCCAGCAATCTCACTTGAGAGGTCGGATGACATGTTGAGAGAAACCAGCATTGTTTTCTACATACTAAAACTAGTCGTACGATAATTCCGACGCTGATTTAAGCTTATGTTACAAGTCTGCAACCTTATCTATTCTGGCTAAATGCTGCCATCTTGGGGCTGCCTACGTCTAATATGCCACTACTCCGAACTGCTTCAACCAACGCATCCGTTTTGGGTCCTTCGATGAGAGTGAAGTAGATCTCGTCGAAGAAGTTCTCAACAATACGGAACCTGTCCCAAAGCGGTTAATAAAGCCATCGAGGCTCCTAATTTTGCGGCTCCGCAGACCACAAACCTTAACTGCTACGGTGCTACCTTGACTGTATCGAACTACGCGCCCCCATCGGAGAGCAAAACATGTATCTAGACTTGACTTGGCTGCGACCAGCGCTGCGTCAAGTATCCCGAGAGTGGATTGAACCATATCGATTGAGCCGATGAGTGTGTGGTGGCCAAGAGACGGAGATTCCATACGAGTTGGAACTTGAATGGTTATCAATCTGGATGTAAGCAGAACTACAGTATTTGGTTCCAGCAAAAATGCATGCCAATAAATCTGTGTTTTAAACCAGCCCCTCACGAAACACCAGCCAAAATTACATCGTTACCTTCGGTTCCTGCATTATCAGAAAGTCTATTGCCAAGTGATATGATCATCATTCGATTATCATCGGAAATACAAGTGTTTCGAGACAATATATCCGCCAGTTCCCAGCAGTAAATCTTAACAATGCAAAATATGCCCCCAAAACAGTCCGTCTATAGTGACCTTGTTAAGGATCGATGAAACATGTGTCGCCTTTGAAGCGAGGAAAAATCCACCCAGGTCGGCCCGCTTACACGACCCTGGGCGTTTAAACGTGCCCCTTTCACACAATCTCCACTTTGTTTTTGATACAGGGGCTGTAGCAGAAACCCTCGCCAGCGAACGCGAAACTGAGATTAAAATATCGAGAATCTTTCGGATGCGAAAAATGTATATATACTCGTACGACATACGATGGGTGAGTTGTTGTCTTGTCATCATCAGCTTCAGCTTCTACAGCAAAGTCTTCTCTTCTAGTTAGGTCCTGGTGATCGTTTTTTCTTTCTTCTTCTTCTCTTCTCAACTTTACTATTCTTTGTGCCGGCACATTTCTTTTTTACCTTATCTTTTAACTGTCAAGATGCATTCCTTCAAGAGCTTTCTCTTTCCTTCGCTTTTCGCTCTGGCTCATGGGCACTCTGTCATTCTCAATGCTCAGGGTCTCGACACTTCTCCTGCTAGTGTAGGATTTCAAGGTAAGCATGATGCCAATAGTGCCTGATTGGGTTTGGGCTAATCAGATCGCCAGTTGATCCCGAGATCGCCCGCAACTGTATCACTATCAACCCTTGCCAGCAGGATGCCACTATCATTCGTGATGCAGAGATCACCGCCAACATCGTCAACCAGTGTGGCCGCACTGAGCTGTCTGGTAACATTGATGTCGGAGAAAACACCGAGAATGCCATTTCTGCTGGAAAGGTCACCCAGGTTGAGGCTGGTGGTGAGCTCACCGTTACTATTCATCAGGTCAACGCCGATGGTGCTGGCCCATACGTGTGTGATCTGGATGAGAGCAGCAACACCAACACCAACATTCAGGTGAGGCATCTGCCGAAGCAGCAACTTAGAAAATCCCCTAACATAGTGAACAGAACTTGACCGTTACAAATAATGTCCCCGGAACAAACGGCCTTTCTCAGGTCAAGACTCAGGCTTTCAACATCACGGTCAAGATGCCCGATGACCTCAACTGCTTTGGAGGTAAGCATGCTCAAGTTCCATAACAAGTCAGTGGTATCTAACACAAACAGCCTCCACTGGCAACATTTGCACCGTCCGATGCCGTAACAACGCTCTTGCTGGTCCCTTCGGTGGCTGCTTCGCCGTTCAGCAAGCCGATACCGATAAGAAGACCAACACTCCTCAGAACATCAAGACTACTCAGCAGCTCCAAGCTATCAACGCTCAGGTCCTCCAGAACCAGAAAGATTTCCCTGATTCCGTCAAGGCCAACGAGAACGCTACCAATGATGAGGCTGAGCAGAACAAGGCTGCCGTTGACGCTCTTCTTGGCAACACCGTCGTCACTTCGGCCTTTGCTACCGAGACACCCTCTGTTGCTCTTGGTCGACCTCCTGCGGCTACCGAGACAGGTGATGCAGGCAATGATAACAACAACAACAATGATAACAACAATGGTGGGAACAACGGTGGTAACGGTAACGGTAACAACAACAATGGAGGCAACAACGGCGGTAACAACGGTGGCAATGGTGGTAACGGACAAGGCCAAGGAAACGGCCAAGGCCAGGGCAACGGCCAGGGTAACGGGCAAGGCAACGGTGGTCAAGGCGGCCAGAACGGCGGTAACAACCAGGGAGGTAACGGCGGTAACCAGGGCGGCCGTGGGGGCCAGGGTCGAGGACAATTCGGTGGCGGTGGTGGATTTGGCGGGTTTGGAGGAAACGCCAAGCGAGCTGCTTCTAAGCTCCGATGGGCCAAGCGATTCTTCGCTCAAGAAGATACCATCTGATTGATATTTGGATGAGCTATTAAAGGAAAAGAATACAGAAACACTGGGAAGTGGACGATGGGATAACTATAGGATGAGGGGAGAGATAGATAATAAAGATGATGTACCAAAACTTGATGAACTTCGCTGATTTCCTCAAGGAAGCTGAGTTCTCTGTGCTGCTTTAAACTCTAAGTTCTGTCTGCTGGAATAAGCTCTCAGCCACAAGTCTCAACTGCAAATAACACATCTAGGTTACAACTTACGCAATAAAGCACAATTTTCCTCAAGGAAGGATTGCAGGCGGTGAGAACAAATGGTTTGTTTATTGAAGTTTGCCTTGATAACCTCTAACGTAAGATGCTATTTTCTTCTTTCTTCTTCTTTTGTTCCCCAACAGTGCTATAGCTGCCTCCCAACAACACTACTGACGTATGTTCAATTCTGTACTATTGAAACAATGGATATCCTCATCTCCCCAATCAAGTGACTCAAAACATTTCACGGCAATTTCACGACCTCCAGAACGATCTAACGGGAACAATTCATCGTGAAGCTTCTCTCTCAGGAACATGCCAATGTCGCTCACGCGGTTTTGCAAGACGAGGATGGCGAGGATGCGGCGATAGGTCTTGGGCGAGGCTGTTGGTCGGCTCCCATAACGACCCAGGATGAGGTCTCGGTATTTTGCTACATTCCTCTCCTTTATCGATGAGGAGATGAGTTCGCTGTAGGCAATGCTCGGAGTCATCAGACTAATCAACAGTTCATATGGCCAGTAGAACTGCGATCGCGGGTCGCTGTGCCGAGCCTTTCTTTCCCACAGGAGGGTATGTAGAGAAGATCTTGTGTCATCATGTTCGACGTTGGAGCACATCGTGGAACAGGTGTAGACAGGGGCTCTGCTCTTGTGAACTGTAATTGAGTTTGCGTATGATGAGTGGTAGTATGAAGCTTGAAAGAAATATGAATCGTGAGAGTTAGAGTTTTCTATCGACATTGCAGGATGCATTGAGTATGTTGTACTTATCTTCGTCCTGTCAATCACTCTCAATGCCACATTCAATCACTCTCAAGTATGAACTCAATTACGCATATCACACAGTCATTCACCTACAATGTTCCAAGTTTGGAGGGAAGTTCTTTGGCGATGACGCACTGGTCTTGCGTTGGCACATGAAATCACTGTGAATGGTTAATGGCACTGAGCACGGATCCTTCGGGGATGATCATCAGCTGTAGAGTCGATTTGTCGAAGAGTGTTGAACTATCTGGCATTTCCAATCTGATATCGATGCCTATAAGTTAATAATTGGGGCTGAGGAACAGCATTAAGGCGATATTGTCAATCTCTTTGTTCAGCTGATCGTCTAAATCAACTCATTCACAACTTGCCCAAACGGAGATAGGTGATGATGATGTCTTCAAGTTCTCTTCCTGGTAACGTCTATCTGGGCTATGGCTCACGAAGATGGAATTGATCTGTTACATTAAGGCTGAAACTTCTAAATCCAATCTTCACCAGCTATGCCTTTTTGTCCTTCAACTTGAAAGTGTGCTTCTACAGTACGCATCACTAAAACTTGCCCGCTCCCCAGCATCTGCTTGAAGAAGGTCTTTCTTGACCAGGCCAATGATGTCGCGAACAAAATGGCTCTTGCCTTGTTCGAGATATTTTGACATTTCCTGTTGCTTGTAAGTGAAGAATATCAATCGCCTCAAGGATTCCAACATACTTGTTCAATAGACTCTTTCAATACTATAGTATTTGGGACATCCTTTCCCTGGCCAATTACTTCACCGCCAAGCTGGGTGGCCATTAAGTGCCCGTACTTGAAGAACTTATCATCATCAGTATAAGCACCGAGACATTCTTCTTCTTCGGCGGAGCTCAAAGCTGACAATGCATTCACCAGTGCCCAACCGCCATGATACCAGACTATGAAGTGTAGGATGATGCATGCGAAGGACCATAGATCCGAACTGTGAGCAGGTTCACCAGTCAGCAGCTCTGGAGCGCGGTAGGCCGAGCCCATGCATGTCTCAAAGCCTCGTTGGTGATGGGCTTGATCGTCGTGGTATTGCATAGACCCGAAGTCTGCAATCTTGAGTACACAGTGAGTGATGCCTTTTGTTTCAAAGCATAGAATACGCTCTGGGCTGAGGTCCCGGTGTGGTGGTTGTAGTTTGTGGTCATTCTGTGGCAGTACCCCTGGAGGGAACAAGTCTCGGATCAGTTGCAAAGCATCAGCCAAACCAAAAAGCTGTGATGATACCCATCTAGTCATGTCAACTGCATCATTGTCAGGGGAATTGCCGGCCCAGAACTGCTCTAAGTCACAGTCGGCCCCTAATGTCTAAGTTGTGAGCTTGAAGTGTTATTTGCCGCTGAGACTTATGGCTGAAAGCTTAATCCAGCCGAGAGAACCTAGTGCATAATTGAGTATATATTATATATAATTCAGTATTTATTATGCATTAAAGAGTATTTCTTACATAACTGCGTTCATACTTCAGAATGACGGACAGGACGCGATATGTATATCACGCGCACCTAGAAGAAGAGGGAGAAACTTTATAGAAGGCCTTTCCCGCTGGACCATACTGGAGGGTGCGAGATTGCACAGAAGTGCCTTGAATTCCCAGTTCTCTCAGTAGATTTAAGCTCTCAGCCACAACTTCAACTGCAAATAACACATCTAGCTCATAACAGCATTTGAAAGACGTTTTGGCGGTGGCTATAAGGTTGATGGCTTTATCATCAAGTCTCTAATTGTGATTACCAGTTAACGTTCATAGAGACATATACCTTAACGTAATATGAGTCATTACAAAGATTAATTGAATCCCAATCATAATTTCTAGGCAGTGGCAGAAGTGGTGTAAGAGATTCACTTTACTTTCTTGAAATATTTAGTTCTCCATGCAGTATACATCCGCGAACCGAACAAAAAGCATAAATGAAATAAATTAACGCCAAGCTTACGACATTTGTCTGCGACTAATAGTACACGGGATGTCTTTGTGATACATAAACCAGGAGTTATCATACTTCCATCTATGGTTCGGATCGGTAATACGAACCTATATCTTCGGTTAGTACTTGATATTGATAGCTTAGGGAGATGACCAGACTTACATCAAAGTTCACATAAAGCGTAGCAAACATCTTGTACATCTCCAACTTGGACATGTGTTTACCCATGCAAACTCGCGAGCCGTGTCCAAACATCATCTCAGTACACTCGTGCATCCGTCGCACACGTTGAGCATGTCCCTGTTCTGATTCACCCTTCCTGCGAAGCCATCGCTCAGGTCGGAAGGTATCGACATCTTCACCAAAGACACCAACATCGCGAGTAATCACGCAAGGGTTAATTCCGACTTTCGTTCCAGCGGGAATGAAGCGACCGTCTGAAAGTTCGAGGCCTTCTTTTGGAACTTCGCGCTCAAGAATAAGACCGACAGCTGGCGAGATTCGCATAGACTCACGCATAACTGCGTCGAAATAGGGCAGTTGACTGATCTCCTTCCATTGAGGAACTGGGAGAGTCAAATTGGCAGAACGGAGCTCGGCGACCATCTTCTCGCAGACAGAAGGGTTCTTGAGAAGGTGGTAAGCCGGAGCACGCATGGCACCAGCTGTTGAGTCACCACCGGCCAAGACATTGAGCATAAGCCAGTTCAGAATTTGCTGGTCATCAACATATTCAACAGTGTCTTTCAAGCTGTTGTATTTGTCGATGAAGAGATCCACGGGCTTACGCTTGGCAGCGCCAGAAGCTACCTGCTGTTGATACTCTGTGAGAATCTTGATGGTGTACAATACGCCATTGACAAGAGGGCGAGGGCCAATGCGCCAGACAGGGTTCTTGTCCAGCCACTCGTCAAGCCACGGGATCTGACTGACGGGTGTGAAGTACTTGAGTCCAGCTGTGCTTTCAGCAATGATGTTCTCGACATCAGCAGCTTGGTCCATGAAGCCGTAGTTGCGACCAAAGCTGATGTTAGCAGCAGCGTCCCAAGCGTAATAAGCAACCCATTCATCCATCTTGCAGACGTAGCCTGTGCTGGCAAAACGATTGTCGATGTGAGTAATCAGCTCACAAAGGGTCTCGTCCATGATGGGCTCAGCCTCCAACATCTTGGGCAGCGTCCAGAAGCCCCGGATGGGTTTGGTGTATTTGGTGTGAAAGTCTTCATCTGCAGTGTTGAAGATGTTTTGCATACGCTGGCCATTGACGACGACATCATTGGGGCGGTACATATTAGTCTAGGACAGTCAGAACCCATTAAGCAATCTCAATCCACAGACTCGTCACAGGGTGCTTACCTTTCGCCAAGGGTTTCTCGTCGTGTAAATGACACGAATCAGATCTGGGTCACTGATACTGATCGTATTTGGACCAACCCGCACAGCAGAACCCCATTTCTGATGCCATGCTCGCATGTGTGCATCGACATTTCCCTTGGTGGCAAGATAGGCCCGGTAGAAGTCCGTATACTTTGCAGCAAGAGGGCCAGGAATGCGTCTGAGAGGTGAGAATAAGAGGTCGTAAAAGATACGAGCGACGACAAAAGCAACGCCAACGTACAGCACGTAGCTCAGGTCAAAGGAAGAAAGGGCCATGATCTACAGAGACAACGAGAGCAACTGCGGAGAAAACAAAGAGGATATATCATAAAGTTAATTAAAAAGCAGCTGCGGGATGCAGACGCGGCACAGAGCCGGATCTATATTGCTTTTTGCGGAGGGCATGGCCTGATTACTCGACGTGTGTAATGCACCTTGTCTCACACTGTCTTTATCACAGGCAAAGCGAAAAGTGACGCCGTTGTAGAGAATGCGCCTGGATCATGCACCATGTAACAGTACTCCACCACAAACTTGCAGGGTATTCATGCTAGTTTTTGTGATATGTCTGAACTCCACGCGGGAGAGACCAAATACAGAAGCGGAGAAGCTATTGAGACACAGGAAGAGTAAGCGTTCCCTCGCTTTGGAGAGCAAGAAAACTTCAGACCTTAGATAGCACAGGGTATTCTAAATTTATACTGAACTTAGGCCAAGCTTAGACTAAGTTACCTAAATCTGTCTATCATTTAAGATTACAGTCCTGGACTTTCTCTCCTCCCGTAGCCTCGCAAACGTGTGCGAAATTGTTGGCTCCCCCACATAAGCATGAGGCTCCTTGAAACTTGGCATGCAGTAGTTATAACAAAGAATCCCACGCACACGGTCTCGATTAGCAACCACCTCGGTTGAGATTGTCTGAATCGGATTAGGTTCTGCACGATGAGAACGAGGGAAGAGACAATATCTCACCGGGGAGGCGGGATCATCCTTGTACAGGCCAGGGGTATCCTTGGAAAAAAGGCTGAGTGAACAAAGAGCTTACAGGACTCGAGGTAATATTCGAAGCACAAGCTGAATACAGCAGAATATGAGAAGTGACTGTCACGTAATTATTGGCTTACTGTTGGTTCGTAGGCAATCTTACACAATAAGATAGCGTTGAAGCTAGTGACACGGGACAAGGACACCATTCAGACGGGAACTAAGCTTCGACCAACTTTAGACAAGACATCAATTAACATTGATCTCCACGCAACGGTTTCTTCGACACTAAATTAATCACGACTCTGATTTAGACAAAATCCACTCTGCACAAATTTCTTGCAGAACTTGTCGCGGCCGGCAAACCCACTCTCTGTGGCGAGCCAATATGCAGGAGTATGGCACGGCATCTGATCTATCAGATTCGCGAGACCCAACACTTCACCGGGATTGGCAGCAATACGGAGATAACAATAAGCGACTCCATGCTCTAATTTTGCTTGCGACCCTGTCGTAACAACTGATATTTGACACATTATGCAAAGCGAGCAAACATCTTCTATTGTTCCCCGTGATTGGATCTGCAGATCGTCTCCGTTGCGGCTTGCTCAACGTATGATTGTGATGGCATTGATCGTCCCCAATGTTTTCTCTCCTCTCACAGTCGGGATATTCTCATGCCCTCGATTGGATTCGCTACTCGGCGGTTTTGCAGCCCCGTTTTCAACGTTGCTTTTCCCAGCCGTTGTTTCGAGTCCAACGGCTTCGGTCTCTCCCGAGGTCAATCTTTTCCCCACGATGAATATTCTTTTTTCTTTTTCTTCTTCTCTTTCTTTGTGATACTCGAAATCCTTCATCTGGTCTCCTTGAGATGTGACATATACGTGAGAGAACAAAGCTATGGTACCAAAGAATTTATTTGCCGGCCTGTTTGTTTATTTTCGTATTCTGTGGCAAGGTTTGTCCTGGGCACATATAAGACGCATGAATGTGCCTGTTAAAGCAGAGTGAGACAAACTTGTTGGTTATCGATGCGAATATGGCTGCTGCCACGCCTTCTCCTGAGTATCTCGCCGAGACGCGGGGGCCGATGATTCGGACTGTGACGTGGCTTTCTGTTATCTTTCCCATTCTTTTTGTTGGACTTAGAGTTTACACGAGATTGTTTGTGCGAAAGGTCTTTGGTCTTGATGACTGGGTCATTCTTCTCTCCCTGGTAAGAAGTCAACCTTCTTCGACACCTCACGTACTAACAAGTATCGATCACAACAGATTCTTCTCATATGCTATGGCGCCATCATCGAAGCTGCGGTTCAGAAAGGTCTCGGTCGACATATCGAATGGGTTCTCACCTTTGCCCCTCAGGATGCCGTCCCGGTCGCATTGCTGGGCCAAGTCTCGCAGCCCTTTGTCGTCATGTCATGCGCCTTGGGCAAGACATCCTTCTCAATCAGTCTCATGCGACTGGCCGCACAGCGATTCATCCATCGGTTCCTCTGGTTCATAGTTGTCACTATGCTTACGCTTCATATACTCATCTCTATCATTGTATTTGTGCACTGCGAAGACCCTCGAACAACGTGGAACCCAGCTATTGTGAGCAAATGCTGGCATCCTAATGCCTACCTTGGAGTTTTATACTTCATCGGCGGTAGGTCTTCTCCATACTGTTATTTGGTCTGATACTGACACTCATCAAGCTTATTCTGCTGCCACTGATTTCATCCTCGCGCTTCTTCCTTGGGCTATGCTCTGGAACCTGAACATGAAGAACAAGGAAAAGTTTGGTGTAGCTGTCGCCATGAGCCTCGGTGTCTTGTAAGTTGTGGCTTCCTTCTCTAGCTTTCTCTTACTTACCAATATCCCCCAGTGCTGGAGCCATCGCAGTCATCAAATGCACCAAACTCAAAGCCAACGCAACAAGCACTGATCCTACCTACGACGTCGGTGAACTTCTTCTCACAGCCTGCGCTGAGAATGCTCTCATTATCATGGCTGCCTGTATACCTACCCTCCGCCCCATGCTTCGCAAGGTCTTTCCTTCATCAGCCAAGTCAAGCGAGAACTCGCATCGCTTGAAGAACATGAACAACATCATGTTCGTTCCCAAGAATAAGGCTGGTCAATGGAGTGCCTTGATTGAGACAGAGGCTCACCCGGATCATAATTCTGATAACCAGAGTGACAAGAGTATTCTTAAGGAACATCGTGGTACTATGAATGATCAGGGTAATGCTGGACCTGCTGGTGGACCAGCTAGTCCAGCATTATCACCCCATATCAGGAAAACCATGTCGGTGAATGTGTCATATGACAGGAGTAATAGCATGTAAATGGGAATGGGGTAAATAGGCAGGTCAGATACAGCAGCCGTGGGCCAAGTACCTTGCATAATTGTTTCAAGTCAAATAAGATGACCCAGAAGTTTCTATGAACATATCAACGACCCTGTTGACCACTCCGAAGGACCCAAGCACACTAACATCTATTTGGTCCCTAAGGCGGCTTTCTACTACTCCAAGTAGAGTCGATACTGAGCCTGTGCTGGGGTATCGGACTAGGCCTACCTAGGTAACCAGGATCACCAGCAGCGGACCAAATCTGAGCCTGTCCATCTGCGGAAGTCGCTGACTTGGACCTCAAATGCCAAGATGCGCAGTCAACGTCTCACCTTAAGGAGTTCAATTGTACCTTTAAATCACAAACAATTACAATAGTTGAAGAATTATCAGAGGCTAAACACGAATTACCACTTCACGTCTGCCTCGCGCCTCGCGCAATTGACCGAAACCGGAACATGTATATCAGGTGATGATGACTCAACTTACGATGTCTAAAGCCAAGCCAAGCCCTTATTGGTTTCTCTCATATGAGGAGGGTCATGCCCTTCGCCGAGCCACAATCTGGAGACTGGTAATTGGCTATGTTGCATTTCTCAACCTTGGCGTCGAATTCGCGACTCACTTAGATTTGCGGCACAGCCAATACGTCCCGCGAGGCTGGGCTCTAAGAGTTGAGTCAAAATGCAAAGGCATAAATATACACCGAGGTAACCACAGTTTCTTTTGTATCAGCTAAAGCCAGAATACAACCAAAAATGTCATGCCTTGGAAAACGACCCAAATCTAGCCCCGAATTGGGAATCCACCTCGATGGCAATACATACATTCCTGGTGATACTATTACAGGACTTGTATACAGAACAACCCATATAGTGAGCCCAGACTCATCACTCAGCGTATCCATTATTGGAACAGCAAGTACAAGCGAACCTTTCAAGGATAGAAACGGTGATTTCGCATGGGGGATAAAACTGCATCACCATTGTCAGACCATATTTACGGGACCTTTGCATATCGAGACCGGTAGTCATAAGGAGTGGACATTCAATATACCTGTTCCACTATATGCCGACCCAAAAGTCAACAATGGCAGGCAGAATTTCAGCTATATTCCTCTGGAAACGACGGACCACGAACTGCCTCCGTCGTATGTCCTTGGCGACGGAAGAGAAGAGAGAACATCAGCGTGCATCCAGTATGTCATCGAAGCCAAACTTACAGTTGAAGTTCATGGAGAGACCGAAGTCTTTGAGGCTACAATCCCTTTCAAGGTCATACCATTGACGACAGATGCTCCTATTGCCGACTTCAAATCCAGACGAATCCGCTATCCACGCAAGATCTCAACTCAGAGCCTCATTCCAGGATCAGAAGATTTGAAATTGTCTTCGCTACAAAAGATTCGGAAGAACTTCAGCTTCTCATCAGATCCGGACCTAGCATTTGACGTTTTCGTTGACGTACCAAGGATCATTCAACTTGATAACCCAACGCCTATATCTATCAAGCTTCTCGTGGCACCAGACTGGCAAAAGACAAGTCCTATCATCCAAAATGTTCCACAAGAAGTTAAAATTAGAACTGTACACATTTGGATAGTCACGGAAACATCCTTGAACGGAATATTTGGAGCACGAAGAACAGAAGTAGACCTTGGAGTTGTCCAAGCTCTCAACAAACTCAATACAAAGCTTCGGATACCCTTCAAACGTCAATGGGAGCCTATCGACGTCGGAGAATTGTCTGGTCTGCGGATAGGTCTACAGGACACGGGATTTCCGCAAGAATGGAATTTTGCACAGTCTGAGTTTACGCATTCGTTTTGCACATATAATATGATGGTTACGCATGGAATTAAATGGTGGGTGGAGGGTGAAATTGCGGGAGTGAAGTTTGATGTGGGCGGGGAGGCGGATTTGTTGATATTAAAACCGAGTGATGATCGAGTACGACCTGAAGGGATGGATGGTGGAAGTAGTAGGACGGCAGAGGCTGAGGCTGAGGCCGAGATACAACGCGATGAATCGTGGATTAGGCCGCCTGTAGAAGAGGCAGCACCGGCATACAGAAACCTCGACGGTACTTAGGTAGGATTAATTCTAAGTACTAAATGACTTGCGGTCTAGTGAATTCTGATTCTATAGAGGGTCTATTTCTTGTCATCTCAATTGATTTACAAATCCCCTCTAAGCCAAGCGGACCTCTATGTCAATAGTATAAGACGTAGAAGCACCCGTACACTGACTCGTGAAGTCCACTCCCGGCTGGACAAGCACCAGACGTGAAGAGCACGTCCAAAAATCAGCAATCTGATTAGTTCCCCATAAGCACTGGAGGCCCAAGGGGTACGAAGTCGCTGGGACGATCTTGCAGATGAAACGGTTGGCCGCATTCGCTGTAGCTTCCTCGGTCGACATGAAGCGCACATAGTTGTCCGAGTTTCCGTTGACGTTGGAGTAACCGGCTTTTCCAATCGAATTTCCAGGTCCATTGACGACTTTAATCTCCCCAGTGCGTTCGTTGAGGGTGAAGGTCACGTCGGAGTCAACATCGGTTGTAAAGTCGAAGAAGTACTTGCCAGTGCCGATTTGGTTCTCCAGACGGGTGAAACCAACACCGCCAAGGGGGGCGAGGTTGGGATCCCCGCTGTTGTGTGCGATGAGCACGATTGTTTGCAGTGGATCGGCTGCTTCTGTCTTGGTGCTGATCTCGGTCTTCGTCTCCGTGGCAATGATGTTGTCCTTCACTTCTGTCCCAACTACTTTACCGATCTTCTCAGTGGAATAGGTCTCTTGGACAACCTCTGTCTTGACCGTCTTGGTGGCATAGGCGGTTGCGATAGCGGTCTTGATGGTGGTTCTTCGTGGAATGATAACCTTGTGGATGACTGAAACGATGGTCGTTCGTGGAAGAGTAATGGTTTTGCTGGTTACACCAACACGAGAACATGCGGACGAATATTTGGCCGAGTTGCTGCACGCGCTGCTGGCGTAGGGAGGGATGACAGGGGCGTTGGCTGCTCGCTTCTTGAATGGTGGGCTGACATTCCGGGCAGTCGTCGTGATTGTCTTTGTGGTCTGCTGAGTAACTGTCTTGGTACCATCCATTGTCACAGTTGTAGTGATATCGATTGTAACACTCTGTACAACAGAGTTGGTCCTTGTGGCGGTTACACGCTGTGTGCTGATTGCCGTTACAGGTTTTCTGACTGTCGGGATGCTCGTTACAGTCTTTGTTCTATAGATAGTGCTGTTGTATCATCGTTAGCTGTTGTGACACTATCTAGACAAAAGTTGTTAGCCCTACACTTTCTTGGGTGTCACAGTAGTATATAGATAAGATTTGCAGTCGGATGCATATGTCTTGCTCGAGACTACAGTAACGGCTATTCTGAGAGTCAGTAGGTAATTTCACAGGTATGAATTAAGAAACACGACATACCACTTAAGCAAGAATCAGAATTAATCGTAAGGGCCTCAGCACCTGACAAGGCCATGGCCAAAGCCACAAAACACTGTGAGAACCTCATTTTTTTCAATACTAGCCGGTCCAATTTTTGCAAAAGAGAACACAGAAAGAAAAATACTATTGTCGAGTCGTGGTATACCGAGTAATTAAATAGTCTTGCCCTGGGACGCAATTCCGGTGGTATGGTACTAGATCGGTCGAGACTAACCGACATATCCTGACCCTTGTTTAAAATTGTCGCTGCTAACTTCACTTGGCTTCGCTAAACGAAAACGAACTAAGATTAGTATTGAACACGATATAATTCGAAGCGCTATTAATTTTCCAGACAACACTATCGATTGTTAATTGGTGCTATTTGGAGCTAATCCTGCCCTGATAGGTCTGGGCCTTGAGTAGTGTCACGAGTTATATGTTACCTCGACCTCGTTCAGCTGCTTTCTTTTCTCCTCCCGATTCTCCAGAATGCTTTCTATCTTATTATTCAAATGCACTCCATCCATATATCTTGCCTCAATAATTACCTCGCTCGGTTCCGGAGCTTTGACATAGTCAATGTTATCAACGGCGCGTTGGTGCATCTCGCTAACATTATCAAGCAAATCAGCCATCCTTTTCCTCCTATGGTGATCAACCACCAGCATATCTTCGTGTATAATTTTCAATAGATCATGGACGTAGGGGCTGCAACCCGGTTTATAATGCATAGAATGGATCCACTGCCACCAGTGTCAGAAAGAGGTCGTGTCAGAGTTTTCAGTTGGGAGACTTACCTTGACGATTTGCTCTTTTACCCCAACTCTGTAGCCCTCTCCAGGCCCGAGCCAGTGAAAATCGTAGTATATGTCGGTCTTGACCCCGGTAATGTAGGGTGAAACCAAGATCTCTTTGAATCGTTCCCTGAGTTCGTTCGCCCCAAGGATCCAAGAAATCATTTCAAGTAATACACAGCCTAGACTCCAGACATCATATGCTCTAGATATACGGCCATCACGTATATCGCACTCCGGTGCTCGATACCTGGGTGTAACAGGTAAATCAGCCGCAGAAATAATAGATCTGGTTTCTTCCCGGTGGGCGTCCGCAATACCAAAATCCGATATCACAAAAGCACCTCGCCTCTCTTTCCGTGATCTGAACCAAAGAATGTTGGCAGGTTTTATGTCTCCATGTCTGCCAAACATAACCTCCGTATCCATATTGGCTTTTCTACCCTCGTGGATATGTGCAAGGGCCCCGACAATGTTTCGAATTTGTCCCGACAGCCATACGAGACCTTCGCTGCTGGCAGAAGCCGGATTAACGAGTGGACCAGGGTGGATTTTCCAATACATGAGAAGATCGTACTCAGCAGCTGGAAGAACGAAGTGAAACTGATTGTTGAGAGTGTATGTCGCCAAAAGCGTAATGATATTTGGGTGGCTCAGACCACTGAATCGTTTGAGCATTTCCAACTCTTTGTTCGACGTGCCCTTGTCCCGGCTTGTATTTTTCAAAGACTTGACGGCCACGAAGCTACCATAAAATCCAAGCTATGCGGGATAGAAATCAGAGCCTTATCAATCAGCGAGGATTGAAACGTGAACTCACCTTCTCAAGTAAAGGGGCAAAACCATGTGAGTTGGAGTCAATCTTGTACTTGACAACCTGTCCGCATCCTCCCGATAGTGTCTCTTCGTGTACTCCGTAGCTGTCTCTGCATAGTACCCAAGGGAGCATTTGCCCTTTAGGCATATCATAGTGTTGGGCTTCGTAATCCTCTCCCAGTGCAAAGAACCCCGGTGATATTCGTAGTTGATTAATGTTGAAATAGTCTTTCTGCATATGAGACCACTCCAGCTTTGCCATGCAAATCTGTGCAGTGAGATAATGCTCAGATCCTTGCACCAGAGGGAATCTTTCGTCATGCAAGTCTGCATCTATAAAAGCCCGGATATCACCGGACCGCTCTACAACAACCAGTATGGCAAAGACTCGAAGAAATGAACGTTTGTCGATGCCCAGAATTAAGTTGCTGCATGCCTCTGCATCCTCCAGTCCTATCTTGACGGAATAGAGTTGTCTGGTGATTGTCTCTCGTGTTATCAGCCTCTCTAGGGTCAGGTACGGCCAGAAGAAGTGGTTCTCTCCGTTGATATGCGGCACCCTCTCTCTCCAAAGTGCGTCGCTTAATATTAGCTCTGAGTCTGGTGCGCCATGTGTAGAAGCCGATATAGAGCCCATAATTACTCCACTATGAGAGATGCCGTCGGCGCTGATCCGACTGACGGTGGTTGTTAGGATGTGGGGAGATGCGCCACATGCCAAGAATTTCCAGGGTCAACAAGGAGTGTTGATGACTGGGGTTTATCGTCGAAAGGTTCACGGAGACGGAGAGATTTTACTAAAAAGACACACGTAAGGGCTGTCAAGACTGAATATTTCTCAGTCCTATCTCACGTATATATTCTGATAAGCTTGGTATTGGCTCCTGTTGGTGCACCTTTATCATGACCGGTGAGTCTCAGTCGGTGACAGGGATGGCTCGGGGGGGGGGACATAAAAGCTGCAACCCGGGATAGTGGGAGATCCTGGGATGTCACTCTCGACGTTTTCTGTCCCCCAAGGGCACAGGTCACTTGGCCTCGCTTCGAAGCGAGTTTGAGTGCTCGCCGCACTAACTCTATCTGTCTGACGTCAGGCAAACATACGATTACGGCGGGTAATGGCTCGGAGTTTAACTTGTTTTACTTGTGTAACCACATTCTCTTTCGTAGCCGTCATAATATATGCCTCACTACCAGTCACTCGTTAGGTCGAGCTATTGATTGGCTGGGCCTTCCGAAGGCTAAATCGATGACCACTGCATGCAGACTCTATGTCCGATCACCAATGGGCGGACCGCGGCTTACCACATGACGCTCTGACATCACCCACCATTCAAACAATCCAAAATCCTTAGGCCCTCTATTCGAAGACAATTCGCCAGAATATTCAATTTTAGTGAAGTACATACTTCTTCAACTGCCTCTTCCCCGCCTGCCATTGATCAACAGCTTTACCAAGCATGTACCCGTCGATATATATATCGCCCACGTATCTATACTCACCCTGCGTCCCCTCAGCTCTCAACAATATCGGTGTCGAACAACCCAACGGCACAACAATTATATCACCCGCAAGCATGAACCCCGACCCCATCGCAAGCCGACGATTTTGCGTAAGACAGAAACACCTCCCCATCATACGATCCCCAAAATGAATTTGCAGAAAGTGCCGCCTCATTTCAGCTTTAACCCCGGATGGAGTTTCCAAGTAGTTAGCTAGTCTGTCATCGAGCCTGATGTATGGTAGACGGTCGCGAAACAGGTTCGCAAAGACATGATAGATTTCTGCCTGCCATCGACCTCGGTCATACTCTGATGGGATTTGACCAAGACAGATCGTCGCTGCAAAGCACTCTTCCGCCATTTGTAATTCTTGCTCATTGCGACCTTCAACGGCCTGAAGAAGTAGCACTCTCCAGTGTAGGAACGCCATGAGATAATCTCCTAGGTTGCAAAGTGTGCCGACGACAACACCCTTGCTCTGCACCACGTCGATCTCGAGTCCTGAAATTTCAAGCTTGTTGAGGCGTTCGTCGCGGAACCTGCAAATGGCTTTACTCGAACCTGAAGCTGAGAAATTATACTTGAAGCCCATTGCCGATGTTTGCGGAATATGTGACCAGTCCGGAACAAATGTTGGAAGGTTGGCGGTGCTGGTGTGAACAGGGAAGTGGATCGCTTCGCAGATGATGTCAAGCTTCTCAGTCGTCTTGAGAAGGAAGTCGACAATCTCAGTGTACACATCCTTCACGGAGAGATTGTAGTCCGCGCGGAACTCGTCTCGAATACTTGCTGGCAAAACGCCAAGGATTCCGTACAATTTATCTCTAGGATCAGAGGCGAGCTTCCTGCGACAAGTTCGAAGCACCTGTAGAAGAGCCTCTTCTCCATCCGACATGTGGAATTTGAGGTCTGGTAGACTGGCTGGCCCTTGATAAATGAGGGTCTGAACATAGCTGAACTGATCAGGCGAAGTTGCTAGTCGCCTCTTGAGCTGGTCTTTGTTATTGAAGATGAGTTCCCCACGGCGCTGGCTGAATAGTACTGAAGCACTCTGATATTTCTTCCACTCAAGACGAGTCGAGCCACAATGAACCATTATTCGCTTCGCGTTGAAGACTTCCTGGACGACCCATAGTCGTCTCCAATATTCCCTCCCAAAGAGTGATACTACTGCTAAAAGGTCACCGTTTTCGGCACCAGCTGCTAGTAGTTTGGAAACATTGCTGGAACCAAAAGGTTCACCTGTAGTCGCTACGGCATCGAGAAAACTAACAGCTCGTGTGCTGTCGTTCTCTTCCGGACCAAGCCAGATTGCGACGCTATCAGCATTAGAGTAGATAAACGGCATCAGTTGAACCTGCTGACTCCGCTCATCTCGATCCTTTTGATTGATGCACAGAGCATCTGCCCATACCAAGACAGATGATTGTTTTTTGCGTAGTGCTTGCAGGGCACCGTGGAGGCTGACAGCTATCGGGATCAAACAACCTTCAATCTCGATCTTGCGGGTATCACCTGTATCGCCCCAAGTGTACGAGATAGCCTTATAAGGAGGAGGCTGTTCCAAGGAAACATGGATAATTTCGCACTTGATCATCGTCTTCCTCTCGGGCAATATTCTAACCAATCTGATGGATGCATCTTCAATTGGTCTGTACTGATAAGACAACTCGCTAAACGAAGATGCAGCTTGTTGGTTTTGCAGTAGCCTGGGGCTCGGACTGAGGGCAGCTTTTGGAGTAGGTGGAGATAGTGGTGGCACGACATTGTAATCGTAGGGATACGGCATGAATTTATTGTTAAAGGTCGTCTCCGGAATTACCGCGTATTGCTGATTCGGCGCATGCGGTGGAGGGACTTCGTATGGGTGACCTTGGCCTCTGCCCAGTCTGAGGGGCGGCGGGGAAGGGACCCGTGCTTCTGCTGACACCGCCGGGAACGCCATAGGATTGTCTTTGGGCTACTCAAGTTGTACAGTAGGGGCTAGGGCCGGAATTCGATCCCTTGGGTCGCTTTGCATCAGATTTCAGTTGTTTGAAGCTGGCAAGTTGAGCGGTTTCAGCTGAACTCATGGTTGTGAGCCTTGGAGTCAGCCTGTGGCTTGGAACAACTGCACCCTATCAGATGGCCTGAAAACGACTCTGGCCTAAACAAGAATAGCGTCAGATCTTGTCAGGTCGGGTTATCCTCAAATACCCAGAGGAGAAGTTGGGAACAGCATCTTATTATTTGTTTTGGTGCTTTTTAGCCTTCTTACATCTCGGGTTGATATAGGAAACTGTCTACGTCGAGCTGTTCTGCCAAATCCAACAACTCCCCTGGTGTCAATCCTGCCATGGCATTGGCCGCAAAGAGGTCCCAACCCGTCTCCTCAGAGACATGCTCGTCTAACTCTGTCTCCCCGTTCTCCTCTTCCTGGACGCTGACATGCTCTTCTACCTGGTTTGGTACTTCTGGCGTTGCAATATTACTAGCCGGCGTCAAAGCAGATAACTTCTGTTCCAGCTGCTCGAGTTCTACTTTGCGCAGCGGAGCAATGAGACTGCCTTTCGCAATAAGAGTATCAAAGACGTAGCGAGCATCATCGCGCCATGAATCGTCTGAAAGAAGAGATGGACATATGATAGGGATGAGATGGAGCAGAAATGCTGACGATGAGGCATACTCTATTTGGAACGGCAGAAATGCCTCTGCAAAAAAACTCAGCTTCATGATTGACTTTCATGACAATTGTACTTACCGATGAGATCTTCATCTGCCAAGGCACGGAGCGTCTTCAAAATCGCCTGCGCCGAGCTAACGCATGACTGTATAAGCGAGGCAACCGGTGGAGATAGTGATAGACCATGGGTCAGAAGCTTTGTCTTTGACTGTTCAATGTGCATATGTAAGGCGCACATTATCTGTGGCCTTGTTGTGAGAACGACGCACTGAAAACAGATTAGACCAAAGACTTCAAGTTCAGCACCGCGCTTTGAAACCTACGTGGTGATATTGGAGGAGAAGTCTCGTCGCAGTTCGTGACGCTTTGCTGATCGAGTCTTGGAAATGATTATTGATAATGTTGTTCAGATCACGGTTCAACTCAGCCAAGTTGCGTAGGATAGACTGCGTGTTACTAAAAAGGGTGCCGTCATAATCTTTACCAACACCGTATACCGCTTCAAAATTGTTAGCAGCCAATTTTTAGTAGTCTTAGGAGGGTGGCACTTACTCCCAAGTAATCGGGCTATTAACCGAGCAAGCTGGACATGAAGGGTCAGACTCAGTGAGCTCAACGAGCTGTCCGCCTGAGAAGGTAGCTTATTCGTGATGTCTTCGTCTCGTATGGCACTCGTTGCGCCAATGAGAGCAGCGAACTCTTGGTCGAGCATATAGACTACCCAGAATACTATGTGGCATCGCTTAGAGTGTTGTGCCCCGACAGCTTCTTCCGGCATATGCCTGTGAAATCCCGACAAGACACATATACGGAGAGCTTGTCCGATATGTTGATATGCTGCCACTCTCATGTCAATCGACTGGAAGTATATAGCAGCCAATGTGAGTGCTTGCGCTGAGAGAACAGGATCAAGAGCAATGCCGGCTAACTCAGGCATCAATGGCATTGCCCTTGCAGCGTACTGATACCCCGGCGGACTTCCATCAGCACTCTTCCCACCGAGAAAAGCTTTGCCGAACGCTATCATGAGTAAATACTGCGCATACCACAGTTTACACGATGCCGCTTTAGCCGAAGCATCTTGATAAAGCTCTTTAAAATGCTGAAGAAACTCAGCCTCGTCTATCAAACTCGCCAAAGGACCAAGGTAAAACCTCGCAGTCTGAATGAGGAAATACGCATAGTCAGACGGCGGTAGGTTGGAAATATCCGGTGGCTCATCTGGCATAAGTGGTCTCCACTGCAGTCGGAAGGCCACTCCGTCTAGGTGCCAGGGTAGAGGCTCGTTGTTTGCTTCGGGGAGATGCTTGCCTACTAGGGCTAGGACTCTTCTGCAAAAGGCCCATGATGATGCGGGACCCATGTACCCTGTGGAGATGTGTTAGTGTATGCCGATGATTGACGGATGGCAACGTACAGTATCTGCCCATGGCTTGCCCGAAGACATAGTCGTTGTCGACGAGGGGGTTTTGTCGGAAAGCGGGTTCGAGGACATCATTAGTGGATAGCGAGGCAGCCTCGTTTGTTTCGTCGTTCTCGTCATGATCCTGAGGTGTTCCAAGTGTAAGATCTTTGGTTATCATGTTAGTAAAGATGACAGACTATTGGATGGTCACTCACCCCCATCCGCAGTCATGGATGCGTCCCGCGTGACTACACCGGAAATACCATAATCAGAAACAGAAGAGTGCCTCGGTCGTGGTCTACTTCCATTACCAAGAGACCCTGGTGATGGAAGTCCATCTTGTCGTCTCTCCAAGGCGCGGAGGTAGCTGTCCTCAGGTCAGTTGTTACACACCAGAAAAAGAAAGAAGACTCACCTCTCAGGCACTGATACCTTCTTCTCCTCCACCTCGTATATGCATCTCTCATTCTTGCGTCCACATCTCAAACAAGGCTGCGCCCCCGAACACTTGACCTTCATAGACCGACATCGCTTACACCTACCCAACAACCAAGATCAGCTATCGGCTTCCAACGGCCCAGATAAAAACTCACGCTTTAGCACATTTCTTAATAATCCGGAATTGGCCATTCTGTGTAGCAGGCATCGTTGCGCAATTGATAATAACTGTTGAGGAGAGGTCGGGGTGCTCTTCCGACTTAAGTCTTTTAGCTGGAACATCATTCCGGCTTGGGGTCTTTGCCTAATTTGGTAGCGTTCGTGGAAAAAGCTTATCAGCGGCTTTGCAGGATTGAGACTGCGTTATCGGATGCGGAGTGAAGCGGTCGGAATGAGATCCCGATAGTGGAAGCTTATCATGGGGGATTGTCAGTGTCCTATATCGGTATAACAATCCCGACTTTTCCACTTGAGATTTGCGTCGGTGTAAGTTGACTGCCGGGTTCAGTGCTTCTGGAAGAGACCCCTGTTTCTAGAATTGGCCAATGCTTTGATGCCAGAACTGTCATAATGACCAGGGTTTTGGCTACGTTTCGCTCTGCAATTGCATCAAGGTCAGTTAGCACGACAGCTCCAGATCATATCATCTAGAGGCACAGTATCTGACCCTCCAATCTAGACCATCAACGTTGCATGCACGCAAATGCCTGATAACAAACCCATCACCCTCAACGATGCGACTGAACTCGTCAGCTGCAGCTGCAGCTAAGCCTGCATTCTCAGCAGTCCAACCAATCGCCAATTTTGAGGAAACGATAGCCCACAGACCAGACTTTGATCACTCTGGCAAATCTATCGAGATAACAAAGTCCCCAGACCCATCCTGGTCTTATGGAGATGGTGTCCGCACTGGTCAATCCCCCACCAACAAGATCCACCGAGAGATCGACCCGTATTCGCCTGACAGGTCCGTCGGGCAGAACTACCGACTTTTAATCTCTGGTATTGCCCCTCGACCTGTTGGCTTCATCAGCACTATTTCCGGCGATGGGGAGACCAAGAACTTGGCGCCTTTTAGCTATTTTCAAGTGATTGATCACGACCCGCCCATGTTCATCGTTAGCTTCTCATCTCGCTTTGGGTCGGCTAAAGATACGTATCAGAATCTGAAGGATACTGGAGAATGTGTGATCAACACTGTTTCCGAGAATATGATAGAAGCAGTCAACGCGTCGTCGATCGACGCTCCGTATGGTGTTTCTGAGTGGGACATTACCGGGCTCACCGAGGCACAAACTACGACTGTCAAACCATCCCGCGTTAAAGAGTCGGTGCTTTCTATTGAAGGGCAGGTCGTCGATATCAAAGAGTTCGAAAGTCATAAACCAGGAATGAGTAACTATGGAATAGTTCTCATCAAGGCGACTCGGTTCTGGGTACAAGAAGATGCTGCCAATGAAGATTTCAGTCACATTGAGCTTGACAAACTACGGCCCATCGGCCAATTGGGCGGTATGTCGTACGGGCGGATGACTTCGACTTTCGAGCTTCCCAGAACGAGATGGGCCGATGAGCAACCCAGAAGTGAACTTCTGACCAAGTTGGAGAAAGAAAAGGCGTCATAGCGAAGCGTGTCCAGTTACTTTATTGTAAAGCTTCAACTCACATAGACCAACACTAATGCAGCTTGTATCATGATTTGGTATGAATTTAACAGTTTTCAATTTCTATTTCTGTCTATCTTCAGCCCAGTATCCTCCGTCGAAGCTCATGTCTCATAGCCAGCGCCATATGCTGCGTCCGCTCAACGGCACCGCGATTCTCCACCGCTCGTCGGTACAAATAATTGATGCACTCCTGCACGGAGCCCCAAGGTAGACACTTGTAAATCTTGGGCGTCTCAGCAGTGACTCTATTCTTCTTGACTGCCTGCTCGTAATCCTGCAGCAGCTTGCAACTCAGCTCATCAGCCATGCCCATGATCTGGGCACACTTCATAGGCACTGTGGGAAGACCAGCTTCAAGGCGCTTTCTGTGTGTGCTAAGGGCCTTTTGCGCACTCTCGGCATTATGCGTCGCCAGAACGAGTGCCGCATCTGGGAAGCTGAGGTCGGCAGCTTCATCGGGCAGTCTTCGAGAAATTAGCATGTCTGCAATATCGTTGTATGAACTGTCTGTATCCTCTTTTGTATCGTGAATGAGAGACCGGATTTCATTCTCGATATATGCGCCACGAACAAGCTTGATACCGACAGTCCAACCCTCTTGGGCAGCTAGCTGAATATGCCTCTTCGCGTTCTGTCTAGCGCCTTTGAGATAAGCCTGAATGGTGTTGTAAACAAGGGCATTCCCGCCCCGATTGTGTTCACGCATGAGGGTAATGGTCCACTCGTCGAGTGTCGGTTGCATAGCTTGTTGTTCTGCGTCTATCCAGAGTTGACATCCACGCCTTTGAGTCTCGCTACAAATATCGTTGAGAGCTTTGTGGAGGTACCTATTCATCGGCTTGCCAGCCTGCAAAGCGTCTACCGCGATGGGTCCAGCACCAGTCACCCTAAACTACGTAAGTTGCTGGTCATTTGCACAGAATTAGGGTAATTACTTAACAGCTAGAAGATCACCGGCCTCGATCATGTTCAGAGTATCGATGTTGCCCTTCTTCCATTCATCGATCATGTCGTAGCACTCTTTCGGATAGTCCTCAATGCCAATTTTCGGAAGCTTCACGTTAGGGTCCAACACGACGTCTTTCGAATATCCAAGAATGATACCGTGGAAGCCAAGGTTCTTGATGTACTTGACAGTATTTGACACTTCGGGGATGCTGTTCCCAGCACAGAAGTGGTCATAAATAGTCCATTGAAGAATACGACTGAGCACCGGGTTCTTGTCGGGGTTGAGAATGGCTGAGTTGGACTGTGTGATGAGCGCGATGAATGCAAGTGACGGCCGCAGTAGCCACCTATTCGCCATTACTGTTGTTAAGGCGACGGAGCGCAGGAGCACTCCCATAGGTATCTTGGAGAGTGGCGATGGTTCGTCCACCCGGGGTGCCTGGGTAGGCTTTAGAGGGGTCCTCAGCGCTGCATTGGTAACACTTCTAAGTTGTGGCTGGATGTGAAGTTGGGATGGTTCAGGGAATAGACGCCTCTGATGTTGTATGGCGGTTCTGAAAAGCATGTTGAAGTAATTAAAATTATGGCCCTATGATAATGAAACGTTCCCAGCTTATGAGAAGATGGCCGTGGCTTTCATATACTCTCATCTAAGTGCCAGCGTTAGCATCCATCACTCCCCCACTGAACATGCCACCACCATTATCTAACACCAATCTACGTTACGCAACTAAGCAAAGCCGGAACGAGCCACCGACGCTTCCATTCCTATCTTGTAACCTTGAGAGCAACCCCCGCATGATCCAACAGCCTCTCTGCATCACAAAATGCGTGGCGTTATGCGGAGAAGGTCATGAGGACGTGATACTGTACTCATGCAGATCTCACTGATAAGTGCCGGACCTGATGGCTCCAGAAGGTGGGGAATCGATTACGAGCTGGATTCATCCGCATATGCAGGTGTTGTCTGGTTTGCCAGCTGGAGTGTCGGAGAGAGATACGTAGTCGGGATGTCATCCCGACTTCTCTTGGCCTGCTCGGTGCCTCTTGACTTATAAGGCGACTAGTTATGTGGTAGGAAGACTTCTATACAACAATTTACCAAACCTTCTATTTCTTTGTTTTGTCTTATTTTGCAGAAAATGTTCAGGTCTCTTTGCTCGCCGCATCGGCCTCTCGCACAGCTTGGTGCTCTCCACCAACACAAGCCCAGAGCACTGTTAGCCAGTCGGTATTTAAGTCTATGGAACCCACCAAAATTCGAGAATGAGAAAATGGTAAGTTGGCTTTGACACGAAATCCTTCGTGCTAACATGACATCTTAGTTCGACTATGCCAAGGGCTCCCCAGAGCGAGCCCAACTCACAGAAAGCATCAAGAAGCTCAAAAGCTCGTTCCCTGTCAAGATTCCCATTCAAATCAACGGCGCAGAAGTAAGCTACTATGTCTACAAGAGAAACTCTACTCCTAACATCATCGTCAGATTACCAGCAAGCAAATTCTCAAGCAGCAAAACCCATCAAATCACAAAGAAGTCGTGGCAGAATACGCAACCGCCACGCCTGAGCATGTCAATGCAGCTATAGACGCCGCTCTCAAGGCGAAGCCCGCTTGGGAAGCTCTTCCCTTTGAAGATCGTGCGGCCATTTTCCTTCGTGCAGCTGAATTGGTAACTGGTAAATATCGCTCTGATATCGTCGCTGCAACCATGCTGGGAATGGGCAAGAACATCTGGCAAGCTGAAATCGATGCCCCAGCTGAGACAGCAGACTTCTTCCGTCATTATATCGACGAGGCGTGGAAGCTGTATGCTCAACAGCCTAAAGTTCAGACCCCAGGCGTGTGGAACAAGATGGAGTATAGACCATTGGAGGGATTTGTATATGCGGTGTCACCTTTCAACTTCACAGCTCTTGGTGCCACGCTTGTCGGGCCAGCTGCGTTACTTGGAAATGTTGTCATCTGGAAGCCTTCTGACTCAGCCATCCATGCTAGTTGGCTTCTATATCAGATCCTTCTTGAAGCCGGTCTTCCCAGGGATGTCATTCAGTTCTTGCCAGGCGAGCCCAATGAGGTTACTGATACAGTCCTGAAGAGACCTGAGTTCGGTGCTTTGACCTTCATCGGCTCAACCAAGGTCTTCAAGGGATTACAGAAGAAGATCGGCAACGGTATTGGGGATGAGATATACAACTCGTATCCCCGCGTTGTCGGAGAGACCGGCGGCAAGAACTGGGGCATCGTTCACCCAACCGCAGATGTGAAGAGTGCTGCTCTCAACACAGTTAGAGCTGCTTTTGAGTACCAGGGACAGAAGTGCTCTGCTAATTCTCGAGTGTACGTCGCTGAGTCAGTATGGCCTGAGTTTAAGAAGCACCTTCAAGAGCAGATATCTGCTTTGAAGGTTGGAGATGTCGAGAACTACGAGAACTTCATTAACCCGGTTATTCATGAAGCTTCGTTTGATAAGCTTTACAATATTATCGAAGATGCTAAGAACGACAAAGATCTGGAGCTTGTCGTTGGGGGTAAGGCTACCAAGGACGAGGGGTACTACGTCTACCCAACAGTCTATCAGACCACCAATCCCCGTCATGAAATCATGACCCAGGAGCTGTTCGGCCCTATCCTCGGCATCTACGTCTTTCCCGATAATGAGTGGGAGGAGACTCTGAAGCTCCTTGACACAACGTCGAGATACGCCCTGACAGGCAGCATCTTTGCGAAGGACCCTTATGTGCTACGCCATGCTCAGAACGTTCTTAGGCACGCTGCTGGCATGCTGTATCTGAACACAAAGTGTACCGGTGCAGTGGTGGCTCAGCAACCGTTTGGCGGCTCTCGTGATTCGGGTACTAATGACAAAACTGGAACTATGGCCCATTTGCAGAGGTTTGTGAGCACGAGGACAATCAAGGAGGAGTTTGTGCCGTTAGAGAAAGTTTTATACCCTTCCAACGAGTGACTTTCTGATAGTCATAGTATAAGAGTGCTGAAGTTCTAGCTCAATGCAAAAGTTTCCAGGTTCACTCCCCGGCTCTTAAGAGCTTCTGGCTCTAACCGTGGATCAGAATTCACGATTCTGCCATCTTCCATATTCCGGAAGAATTCACAAACTTCTGGGTCATCTCCTGTAAGATCTCGCCCTAGCTGCTCCATTGAAACGCACTGCCATCCTACAAGAGGCTCCAGCCTAGGGTCATCTGCTGTCAGCTCTCCTGTTTCGGGGTTATGATAGCGGGTGTAAGACCGGTGTTCGATAACGGGATCATAGAATAGCTGTGCCTTCCATGGGGACGGAAGAGGACCTAGCAAGCTTTGTGTAACTTCTAGATCCCATACGTAGCAGTCACTCAGAAACTTCCAGTTGTTGTCCTTACATGGACGTAGTAGTACTGGAAAGTCGCAACCGAGAAAGACGCAAATCACATCGCCTAGCGTCATCAGTATGAATCTTGAATACCATGACTTCTGACCTACCTGGCTTTGCGAAAGTACAGGCTAAGCCAATACTACCCCTCTCAGTTGTGACCATCGCTCTACCTTTGGAACGTGTCCAGATGACATATTCCATCATGTCTCCGCGAGTCAGCTTTGACACCGGTGTTGAGGCTGTCGAGAGAAATTCATTTTTGAACCTATCCTTGACATGCTCAAGGCTGAATCCTTCAGCAGGACGACGTTCAATTCTTCCGTCTTGGATAAATGTGGCGGCAAAAGCATCTAAATAGGTGCCCCCGCTAGGATAGGGGTCTGTGAGAGAACATTCAGGTTCCCAAGATCGGATAGCGCGAATCGCTGTCTCGCCATTATCCCAATGATCAAAGGTCTTCTCGGAAACAGACTTCACAGTGTCGAATCTTAGACCAACTACCTTTAGTAAATTGGGTGCTTGGTACTCAAAGTGTAGGGCAGAGCATCCCGAGGCATAGTGGTGTGATATTTTCCGGCCATATGGATCTGCTTCAGAAAGATCGGGAACCCAAGAGGGGCAAGTATCCTCATCCGGATTTCGGGGGCAGCCACGCAGCTCCCAACGGCTAAGAGCCCTGGTACTGGCCAGAAAGCAGGACTTATAGAGCTCGTCGACAGGTTGCTCATAATCCGGCCTAATCTCGCTGGCAAACCTCTGCGGCAGAATAGCCAGTAGCCCATATATCTTGTCGTGAGAGTCTGAACACAGCCGACCTTGATATGCGTCAAGAGTATGTGCCAGCGTTGCTCCGATTGGGTTTTTCGCTACGCTTCTCATGACACTGATAGAAATTCGAGCCATGGGCATTTCGTTTTTATGCAGAAGGCCTGCAACTGCACGACGGAATAGAGGCCATGATATAATAGCGTCGCCGCTCTGGACTATGGAATCTCGATTGGCCATGATAGCCTCTTGGACAGTCCAAAGACGGTGAACCCAAGAGCGGTCACCGAGCTTTTTCATAGCCAACCAAACGTCATCGGAAAAGTCAACTGGAACATCATCCTGCCACCAACTGAAGTCGGTTGTATCCGGGGTTGACATTATTAAACCGTTTGTTGTCTTCTCAATCTGAGATCCAATATGGGCCAGCTCAGAGAAAAGTAGCCCGATGTCGTGCTTTTCGTGTCCAAGCCAGATGACAACTCGGCTGCAGTCCTGATAAATACTTGACATCCGAAGGACTTGAGTAGCCCTTTCGGTATCGTCGTTTTGGTTTATGCAGATAGCATCCACCCACAGCACGCGCTCTGTATCTTGGTATCTCAAGTGTCTGAGTGCCGTAGCTAGGTTCTTCCCAAGCTTGATACTTCCCAGAGACTCACCTCCCTCTCCCTCGACGGTAGCGACCACAGAGTCACGTTGCCGGCCCCAGACATAGGATAGAGCTTCGAATGCTGGCTGTGCGGGATTTAGAGGTGGGAGCTCGTACAGTGCTGGGTCCACAGCAGGGTCTGGGTGTTTCCAAGTATGGATGATTCCATTTTCTTCATCGCTTTCCTCATTTTCATCTTCCCCCCCGCTTGATGTGTCGTTAGACTCGCTCATGAAGATGTATCTGCCTTCGATGGTTTCAACGACTTCCCATCCTGCAGGGAGCGTTGTTTGTAGATGTTTCCAGGACAGACGCAGTGAGCTAGGCTGCTCCGGTAGCCTCAGAAGTTCATGTGAGATTCTTAGCCGGACATCCTCGTCAGGCTCGTCAGGCAGTAGATGAATCAACCTAATGTGGAGTGGAGACTCAAGTGCCCGGTATTTGTAAGGCTGGCCTCGATCAGCCTTGGACTGTGGTTCGGTCATTTCTGTTTTCGAGTCGCGATACTAACGATACAGGGCTTGTTTGTCCAAGAAAAGGAAGAGAGAAAATAAGTCTGGCTGCGGCTGAGAGATGAGCGGCTACACCACCAATCAGAGAGGCAGCTGTCTACAGGCAGTCCCCGCTTCATCATCGTGTTTATACGCTTTCTACACATTCTTTTCAACCTCTCCCACGATACTCTCCAATATTCTCTGGGCCCACTCAAGGTCTGGAGCTTCACTTGACCACCGGTTTACAGTCCATCGCGCTATTTCCAGTGCCTCTTTCCAGCCTGAAGGGAGAAGTATGCCACCCCTCTTCGCCGCAGCCAGCAAGATCAAAGCTTTAGTCACACAGGAACGTGCAATGTACCACGTTCCATGATGCCGGTTATGCCCATAAGTTCGGAAGAGGTGCTCTACGCACAACTCGAGACACTTTTGCGCCAGTGGGATAGCTCGACCGTAGTGTTCATCTTCTGGCGATTGGTGAAGTACGAAGAAGAGAAAGGGGCGGTGTATCCATTCTCGACAGGATAGTTCACGATTTTTCAAAAACTGCGCCAGCTCGTTGTTGGCATGTACTGCATTCTTTGGGTCGATTTGAGGTGGAATGTGCGAATACCTGTCGCATGTTAGCGAATTTCTTTGCTTGAACGAAGGACTTGCCAAAGATCTATCTGCTCGTTGAACTCTTTGCAATGCTCCATAGCTTCACAGATATTATCACTCCAACTTTGCTCTCCGCTCCGGGCCATTACGGCCATGGCTCGATTCATCATCCTTCTATAAGAAATCTCGGCCAGATAATAGAACCAACTCTTCTCCTCTTCGGGAACAATATCATCTTCCAATATGTCACCTCGATCATAGACCGATGGAGAGGTCAGTTCTGTTGGTGGTGACGGAAACATGTCTGGATAGTCACACTGCGTGATACCGCTTGGTGGTAGCGGTATCTCGTACCGTAATTCGCTGCGACAACCTTCGTAAGCCAGGCTATCCAGAAAAAAGAAAGACTATTTCTACTTACTATTCCGTTTTGACACAGGACCAATACAGTCTTTGTTCAAGTCGGCGAGTTTCCTGCGTGGTTGCCTGGCTCGACTTCTTCTGACTGCGAGTCCAGAGGATGTTTCGTAAATCGACACAAGCGCGGTTGAAGTGAAACCAAGCTTGCAGTGGGTGAAGGCAGTACATCTCGTAGATACCACAAAGGAATAGGCACTGTATGTATAGAAGTGATGGCTGAAGCAGTCCAAGCCGTTTCCTTGCGGCTAGATAGTATGATGCAGCGGTGTCCGGGTCTAAAACAGTGTTTGCCGATGAGCGTGTTGAGGCAGGAGAGCCGTCAACATCTGCCTCGGTGTGAAAGGGTACTGAGAGGCAGGCAATCGCGCATGAGATCAGCTTGGAACGATCAGTGTGATCCAATGAAACGAATAGAGTGAATGCTTACTACCAGACAAGACGCGTCATCCCACCTTGGGCCATTCTCAGCTGCTTCTCTGACCTTCTTTTTATAATCCTTCACATCCAGAATTGGGTTCTTGACATGTACATATGCCAGAAACCGTTTTGAAAGTGGAACGAAATCCTCCTCTTGGACGCCTCTCCCAGCTGAGACTCCCCGCGAATCACTGGACCTTGCTTCTACATCTTCATTTAGCTCCAGGACGAAGGATTGTACCTCAGGCACGAGGCCTTGGAATATTGGCCACCGCATAATACTCTCACAATTATTAGATTCTGAAGGAAATTCAGGGCGCTCAAGGACCTGGAGGATGTCGCCCTCAGGAACATGTGTCGTTAGGTCTCTCGATACGTGTATTGGAGCAACACGCAATGGCTGAGTGATACTAGCAGTCCTTTCTGATATACTAGATGTGTCATGCTGTGAATTGTATGATCCTGTATCATTCACAAGTACTGCTAAAGGCCGTGACTCCAGTAGAGACACAACATGATTGAGCCGATCCAGAATAGTCAAACTGGCGGGATCATAGCTATCCAATACATTAGTCGCAGTACAATTACAGGTACCATGAGTCTACTACTGACCTTGAATAATCACTATCAGGCCCAGAGCCAGGGTAGACACATTGAGCACCGCTTCTAGAGCAAAAGCCACAAACTGGACGAACATTGTCGCACTTGGTCTTCCTCAATCGACAGGATTGGCAAGCTGTCACGGCGCGTTTGCGATGATACATGGCTGCCGTGCGTTGTCGCTTATTGCCCTGTCCCTGCTGTTCCGAGGAACTGGCACCGCTCTGGCTGAGCATTGTGGAGTGAGGAATCGGAAAGGATCTTGCATAAGTTGGATGGAATGTCGGGGAGTAGCGGAGATCTTAAGTTTGTGGTGGTTTCTCTTAGTGAAGTTTTGGTCTCGCGGAGTAGCGGAGTAGCGGAGGCTAACTCGGATCGGGTAGTGTCAACTGGTGTTTGAATGCGGGGCATTAGGTACCCTACATGCCTCTGCACTATGTTCTTCGTTTAGGCCTCGTGTGATGGAATTCTTTGATCATTTTTTACTAACAGTTCGTGTTTACGATATTTTACTGACAAATCTCAACTCCTGGAGCCCTGTTTTAATTCTGAATTTAGAATTGGCCTTGGGATACGGAGGGGCCACATCAGCAGCAAAATGCAATCACATTCTCTGTTTGTTATCCATATACATGTATGATTTATTTTTATCTAGTCCTGAGGGAACTTGGCACCGCCCTGCCTTCTTACCTCATCCATAATCTCCATGACACGAATAGTCTCAGCCCACGGCATAGTACCACTCTCAACCTTGCCAGCAGCAATATCAAGAGCAACCGCATCAGCCTCCCAGTAAAATCCCTTACCAGGTCTCTCAAACTCATATCTCTTCCCTTCAGCCTCTCCGTCTTTGTAAACAGTGAATGATGCAGGGACCGAACCCGCAAAGCCTTCTACAATGATATGGCCCTTGGTGCCTTCGACGCGGCAGAAAGCCTCTGGCGTTTTGACCTTTGAGTTGGAGGTCAAGATACCCTGCTTTCCATCTGGATACAAGAGGATGATTGAAGTGCCGATGTCGACACCGTCGACGAGAGTTTGAGCAGCAGTGATCTTGGGTGTGGTAGCCTTCTCACCGACACCTGCATCGAGGGTCACAAGGCCCCATGTCAGGCTGTAAATGCCAATGTCCAACAGGCTGCCAGCACCAAGAGATAGATCTTTCAATCGTGACTCGGGGCCTTTTGACTCGATGTTCTGATTCATGGCAAAGTCTGCAAATACGCGAACCACATCGCCAACGGCTTTTTCCTCGTGGATGATCTTTTGGAGAGATTTAACCAGAGGAAAGAAGCGAGTCCACATGGCCTCCATGATAAATACGCCCTTCTTCTTCGCTGCATCCAGAACCTCTCTTGCCTCTCTGGCATTGAGAGTAAATGCTTTCTCGCAGAGCACGTGTTTTCCATACGAAATCGCATCGAGGCAGTTCTTCTTGTGGAAACCATGAGGGGTTCCGATGTAGATAATATCAACATTGGGATCTCGGTACGCTTCCTCATAGCTACCGTAGATGGATGGAAGTTGATTTTGTCCTGGCATATGTGTCTCAACGAAATTTGTCCCCTTTTCGACGGAAGATGATCCAATGGCTTGAATATGATGTATCGCTTGGGCATTCTCTCTCTCAATGAGGAGATCCTGGATAAACCATGATGAGATCAGGCCAGTGCCGATGATACCCCATCGCAGGGTTGGTTTTGACTGAGACATGGTGATACGGCTCGGAGTGAAATAATAAGGTGTATGAGACAAAGACTATTGGAAGTATGAAAAGCGGAAGTTACAGTGCAATAAACGAAGGCATCGAGATTCATATCATCACCAACTTCGGCTAAATGCAGTCCGAGATGGAGTAACTTCTCCGCTGTTTAGCGTAACTCCGCTACTCCCCGACTACGGACTACGACCTCGTTTACTCCGGCTGGAGTCCGGCATAACAACGGGAAATCCCCTGGTCCTGGTCCTTGTCCTGGTCCGGTCAACAAGCTTAATGCGGCGGGTAAGTTACGAGCGGATATATGAGCATATTTCCAAGGACTTGGCACGATCTCTCGTTCGTTACATAGGCATCGGGATATCAAACCGGCAGATGGATCGTCCACGCAATAATTAATGTATCGATAAATACTAATCTAGTCCGAAACATGATGTGCCGGAAGTAGCCGAAAGGACTGGCATAAACTTGCAAATCATCTTCTGATACAATTCTCCTAAGGTTTACCCCAAACGTGCCGTGAATGGAAGCTTAGTTGGCGATCTCAACCTGCTTCGCATTGCCACCCTTTTGCCCAGTGTTCTCCTCTCCCATGGCTGATTCAACCCTAGCCAACTTATCCTGGTCATCAAGCTTTCCCTCAAAGACTTCTCGAATCTCCTCAAGCGTATGTCCTTTCGTTTCAGGGAACAAGAGCCAAATGATGACGAAAAGAACTGCGAGGATACAACAGAATACAATGTAATATTTCCAAGTGATAGCCTTCATGGCGATAGGATTCACCTGGTTGCCGACAATGAGGCCAGTGAAGGATGAGATATAGGTGATGGAAAGCCCACGTCCTCGAAGAGTATACGGAAAGATTTCGACGGGGTAGGCTTGGAGAAGTGGCGTCCAGGCGATGTCGTAGAATAGATAGAAGATGAAGATGAAAGCCACTACTGCGCGGCCTGTCGACTCGTCATGGCTGCTGACGAAATGCGCAGTAAGACCAGTCCAAATGATATAAGAGACAAGCATACCACCCGTGGAGAGCAGAAACAGAGTCCGGCGCCCCAGTCGATCAACCATCATGGCTCCCAAGAAAGTCGAAGCCAGCCAATTGAAGATCTGAAGAAGTCCGTTGATGAGAGTCTGGTCCTTGACCTTGGTAATACCGATCGTGTTAAGAACGAGAACAAGATAATAGCTGACGACTCCGACACCATTCCATTGAGCAAACCAGCCGACGATGACAGCAATAAGCGTGCGCTTGCGGTTCGCTGGAGTGCGAAATAATTCAGCCCACGAGACGGCAGAAATGGCGTCGGCTTCCTGGGTAAGCGCCAGCTCGATTTCTTGCATCTCGAATTCGACAAGGGGAGACTCGAGATCGCCGCCTGCATGGAACTCGGCAAGGACTTTTCGGGCTTCTTCTTTGCGTCCCTTGGAAACAAGCCATCTGAGTTGACTACATCAGCTTCTGGAAAGTCTCAGACTACTGCAACGTTCTTACCTGGGGGATTCTGGTAGAAAATAGAGGCCCAAAAGCTGAATGACGGGCAATGCACCTTGCAGCAGAGACGGAATTCGCCAGCTCCAAGTCGTCGGATTTTTGAAGGTGCCATAAGTACACCAAGCGGCGAAAATAGAGCCAAAGTACTAAAATTGAGGCATACAATCAGTACACTTCATGGATGCCCTAAATAAGATAGAGTAGAGACTTACGAAAAAGGTGTTGTATAAAGCAGTTACTTTGCCTCTCTGAGTTGGGTACGCAAGCTCAGTGATGATGATGGGGCTAGGCTGACCGATGAAACTAGTGAAAAACCCCAAGAAGGCTCTCGCAATGATAAAGCTGTGTAGGTTCTGTGAAAGGCCCTGTAGAGTTGCGAAGCCAATGCAGGTGATGAGACCAATAAGAATAGGGAGCTTGCGTCCCCAGCGATCACAGATATAAGCTACCACGAAGAGGGAGATGACTTTGCCGAGAGGATAAACAGAGTTCATGAGTCCGAGAAGCGCGCCTTCAGGACTACCGAAGAATTCACGCCATTGGGGCAGAGTTTGGAGACCGTTCATCATGGATCCTAGGCATGTCAGAGTTGGACCTGTAACGATGAGAAGAAGGGATGTATACCATCGTAGCCAACGGAGGCGGAAGAGAACAGAGGGACCAAAAGGCATAGATTGAGCTTGATCAGATGCCAAGTCATGTACCATGGCTTTGGATTCTGAGGGAGGACCTGCGTAGGAGAGCTGTTAGCCTGTGTAACAAAAGATGGGTGGGAGAAATGAGGTGTCGTACTCGTGAGAGCTCCGATCCAACAGCCAATTCGGCCTCTTTCTTTCGTGAAAAGACGCCCATAATTCAAGCCAGAGCGGAAGACGCAAGATCAAGGCGGGGAGTATAACGCGTCAAAGAACCACGATAACTTGGATGGTTTGAGGGAACGAAGAGGTCCACAAGAGGGGGAATAAGCTCCTTTTTAAAGCATTCGGATGCTCTCTCATCTAGACCCCGGATTTTCGTTCTCCGTAACCGAGGAAACTTGGTGACCCCGTGGGGAAGAAGATAAGGCATGGTTACATTTTTGCATGGTGCGGAGCCAGGGATCGAGTCATGATCCTTTCGCGGAGTAGCGGAGCTGAATGCTCTTTTGGTGTCGGGGAGTAGCGGTATGTGGGGAACTCAGATGGGGGAGTGATACTCTAACCCGCAGGGTACTACGTATTGATGACAGAGGAAATGAAGGATAAATAGCTCTTCTTTAACTCATCCAGACTTTGACTTATACCCTTTCTGTTACAGCCTTTAAGACTAATCATTCATTCACTCTATCACCATGTCAAGCACATCAGATCGCATCCTTCGGATTGGAATCATCGGCTGCGGTGAGATCTCGCAAGTCGCCCATATTCCCAACATGAACTTCCTATCCCACAAGTATCAAACAACCTATCTCTGCGATATCTCAAAGCAGGCTCTAGCCCATTGCACCACCAGAGTCCAAGGTGGTACTCCCAAGACCACCACCAACGCCGAAGAACTCTGCTCCTCACCAGATGTCGACGTGGTCTTGATCGCCAACGCTGATGCATACCACGTTGAGCATGGTATACTCGCTCTCAAGAATGACAAGTACTGTCTTATCGAGAAACCAGCAGCCACTTGCTTCCGAGATATAGACAGGCTTATTGAAGCGGAGAAGGCTTCAAAGGGCAAGGTTTTTGTTGGAACTATGCGGCGTTACGCTACTGCCTTTATCGATGCTGTGGCAGAGGTCGGGGGCATGGAGAAGATTCAGTATGCCAGAGTGAGGGACATCATCGGCCCTAACTCCACCTTTGTCGAACAGAACGGCACGTTTCCTCAGAAGTTCAATGACTTCACTGAGGAAGATGGTCAGGACAGAAGCCGTCGCGAGGCTGATATCTTTGAACAAGCTCTTGTCAAGGAGTTTGGAGTGCCGAGCACGCCTCAGTCACAAAGAATGCTGAGAGTTCTGGGAGCGCAAGTCACCTTCACCTTAGAATGCCGCGCCAACACTAACTTGATGATACAGCCTCGGAACACATGATCTCTCAGCGATGCGCGAGATTCTAGGAATGCCCAAATCCGTCGCCGGCGCCGTGCTGACCCTCCCCGGCATCTTCAGTGTCCTATTTCAATACGATGACTTCCCTGTCACGTATGAATCAGGTCTCAGTGGTGTACCCCAGTTCGACGCACACATTGAGGTCTACTCTGCCAACAAAATCGTGAGAGTCAACTTTGATTCTCCTTACGTCAAGGGTCTGCCGGTGATTATGACGATTCGAGAAAAGATTGGTGACGGTGGATTCCAAGAGAGGATCATCAGGAAGACGTATGAGGATCCGTATACATTGGAGATGCTAGATCTTTATGATTGTGTAGTCGGGGGGAAAGTGCCCAAGACAAGTGCGGCGGATGCTCGGAAAGATGTTGAGCTGTTCGAGATGATCTTGAGGGCTGGTGCTGAGAGATTCAAGTCTTAGACAGACTTTGAGACAATTTCATGAGAATAAGTTACTATTATGCAGTAGTCTACTAATGGACTCAAAAAAGACCGTCGTTGGTTGTAGACTTCGATGCTCGAGATGCCAAGCTACACATTCGTCATAGGTTGTGAACATCCACGGCAGCCAAGACTCAACCCCGCGCGAGTCAACTCATCTTCAGCATCATCGCCACGCTGAAATTCATGCAAGCAATCCCTATATTATCTCCCCTATTGGACTTCATCACCCTGGAATGCGAACTTCCTGGCTCCAGACACGATGACCCTCAGACCAGACTACCTCTCAGAGCCTTCGACAGGTTTATACTGCCCACTTTTCTCTGGTTGCATCTAGAATCTGCGCTATGGTTTACATATGCCGAGCGTCTTTGGGGAGTCGACAGCTACATTCTTCGAGCCATCTTGATACTTCTGTCTTTAGTCCTTTTTGTCTTGCCGCTATTCTTTCGTGGGTGGATAACCAGCGTCGATCGACTCAAATCAGCCACTAAAGCAGCGTTTTCGCATCAAAAACTGCTTTTGTCTGTGATATCGCCTTTACTTTTATGGGAGCTTATTTGCAAACTCCGCTGCTGGGAAGTGACTCGCTTTCTTTGCTGTGCTGTTCTCCTGGTTGTGGCAGCTGCAACGGGAGTCTTCAGAATGTCACGGTGGTACTACTTTGTCAGCAACGGGCGAGAGAGGAGGCTTCCTTCAGTCACAGATGCAAAGTCTACCCTGGAATGAAGTTGGCTAAGTGGCTTGATCATTGGGCAATGGGCAGGCAGCCTCTACAGTTACCCAGGTGAGGCCTTCAAGGAACGTTTAAGGCCCTCTTCTTATCAATTGACAAAGGTTCACACTTTAAGTCAGTAGAGACTCGAATTTTTTTTAAAGGAGTGTATTAGTTAGACTTTTATCGTGTCCGACAAAATCAATGCTCTAAATAAGTAAATATCAAGAATAGTCGCTCAATCAATGCCATAATAACTCATAAAGGACTGTTCCAAACAAAATCGACAAACACCATATCTATCTATGCACGCTAGTAATGTTCTATGCAACGCTATGCCAATGTAAAACCATTGCTGGGGAAATGTGAAAATAAATGCCTCTTACTTGGGGCAGACGGGCTTCTTCTGAGAGCAAGCGTCCTTCTTGCAGCATCCCTTGAAGCCATTGGCGCAGACCTGGAAGAAACCGGTGCCAGGGCGGCAAGTCCCATCAGAGCGAGCCTTGACCTTGAATGTCTGGGCGGGCTCGTAGGTGCCGGTCTTGTAGTCGGGGCACCAGGTGTTACCGCAGGCGTCGCCCTTGCAGCAGCCGCGGAAGCCGTTGGAGCAGGATTGGAAGAAGCCGGTTCCGGGAGGGCAGACGGTGGGGTCATCGGAGCGCTTGGCGACGGTGTCGGGGCAGATGGGAGCGGAACCGGAGCAGGCATCAGACTTGCAGCATCCACGGAAACCGTTGGAGCAAGACTGGAAGAAACCAGTTCCGGGAGGGCAGACGGTAGGGTCGTCAGATCGCTTGGTGTTATCGGGGCAGACACCAGCGTTGCCAGTGCAAGCATCAGATCTGCAGCAGCCGCGGAAGCCATTAGAGCAGACTTGGAAGAAACCGGTACCAGGAGCACACTGTCCATCAGGGAGAGAAACAGGAGCAGTCTCAGTGGTGGTCTCAGGCTTGGGCTTGGGGGCCTCGGGCTTGTTGTCGGGGCAGACGCCAGCGGTACCGGCGCAAGCGTCAGACTTGCAGCAGCCTCTGAAGCCGTTGGAACAAGACTGGAAGAAACCGGTACCGGGGGCGCAGACAGTAGGGTCATCAGCGCGCTTGACCTTCTTGTCATCAGGGCAGACAGCGTCCTTGCCAGCACAGGCGTCAGACTTGCAGCATCCCTTGAAGCCGTTGGAGCAGACCTGGAAGAAGCCAGTGCCAGGAGCACATTGGCCTTCGGGAAGAGAAGCAGGAGTAGTCTCAGGCTCCCAGTGCTCTCCCTCCTCGGTCTCGGTCTCGGTACCCTCAACAGGCTTGGTGATGAAGACAGGATCGCAAGTACCCTCGACGAAATCAGTGCACCACTTTATGGCACAAGGATCAACGGAGCAATAACCGCGGAAGCCATTGTTCGCACAAGTGTAGAACTGGCCAACGCCTGAACACTCGGTTTGAGAGCGGGCGGTAGGTCCAGCAGAGACATAGCCAGCAACGGCAACAAGAGCAAAGATTGTGGAATGCATAATGTTATGAGATTGTCGAAAGAATTAAAAACAGTTTTGTTTGGAAAGCGACGAAGAAACTGTGACAGATGACTGAGAAGAAGCGAAGGTTTGTAAGGAAATAAGACCTGACAAAGGAAAATAAGAAAATAAGAGAAAAAGGAAAAAAGTTGTTGTTGATTTGATGTTTTGTGATGTGATGATGAGAAAGAAAGAATTCCATTTCGACGAGAATTTGTTGCTTTCTTATACCAGATTTGCGTAGAAGTCAAGCTGTCTCAATGCAGTAAGTGTCTGTCTGCATGCCATGCTTAGTCTCCGACTCTCAGCGGAGGAGGCTGTGACGTCTCACAGCCCTCACCAGAATAAGCCGTCAGATCGGGCTCAGCCCCCCAGCCCCAAGATCACATTAGCCCTATTTTAAGCTTAAGGACTCGGTGCAAATTAGGTAAAGTGAGACTTAGGTTTTATACCGCAGCAAACGGTAACTGCGCCGTCCGGATGGTCTGGACTGATCTTTACAGCCCTGTGTCGCTTTTAGTGGCTTTTAGCTTGAGCTGCGGAAGCTATTGCCAACATTCCCATGGTTTGGTGGATGGTCAAGATGGTAAATCATTGGAGCAGTAGCTCTAGTAAGTTGTAGCTCATGATTTACTTGCTTTTCAGGGAGAGCTGTTCGGGTCTTCGGCATTTAGAATGGAAAGCCTCAGTGGACTAAGAATCAAGCTTATTGTCACTAAACTTAACAAGGTTTCCTCGGTTCAGCTCACTACCAGATCTAATTGTTCTTCGGGGGCCATGGCGCAGCAGCTCAGAAGGAGCTCTATTGACTTGCAAGCACAGCTTACGCCGAGCATCCATCGGGCTGTCGGTCATGCATGCTATGATGGTATTTGTGCAACGGAAAATATCAGCTTACTACAGACCAGCAAAGTCTTGGTGTCACGTACTAAGCCTTAGCATGGCAATAAGCGGTCAGTCAAAGCACCCGCACTACGCCATGGCTTATTCCTCGAGGATGATTATTGGAGCTGAGGTGGTGGTGCATCAGCTGGATCGAAGGATGGTTTACAGCTCAGACTGACCAGCGGCGGATATTCCCGTACTGTGTTTTCCCGCCCCCGACGTCCTGAAGTACGTCGTAATGGAATGTCAGATTATTCTGTAGGTGAATTCTCTTGAGCTGAAGCCATACGTAATCGGCAATCAAAAGGCAATATCTCATTTACGCGGAACCTTGGCTCTGCATGGTCTTTCCCCCGGTCTTGACCCGATTCTACTATCGTTTGCATAATGGCTCTTCATACTGTGAGAGAGAAGTGGTAGCTTCGGAAAGCTATATTGGCATTCAGCCCAACGCTTGAGCTGGCTGCTAGTGGACGCCATTTTGCTAAGAGAAGCCATTATCTAATGGTGACGCCTTCATCAAGTTGTCCAATAGCCGAAAGTTTCCAGAGGCTTCACTTTGACTAACAGCTAAACTCACCAATCTATTGGGTTCTTGGACACAGTTGTCTATACTAAACATGGCTAACAGGTTGTCTTTAGGATGAGAAATGCCTCAGAGCGCGTAGGGCACAGGGTCTGATGCTTTGCAATGCTTGTGGTATTAACAGTCAATTTATGCCCAATGTTCCTCAAGCTGCAGAATAAGAATAGACTTTTCCGATGACATTAAATATGTCTTCTCGCCTAACTAAGAATTACTTTCAGCGTATGAGGCTAGAAATTGAACATGGTAAGATGGCTTGATCCTTCGACGCGTGGATACGATTGGAATTATCCAGAATAACAGCATACATGAGAGCCGTAGGAGAACGAAAATAGCAAGCTATTAGTTTCTAACTAAACTTAGAATCAAAGAGTTTCGATATCTTTCATAATGTGTTTTACATACTGGGCCATCGCCTTCAAGAGATGTCAAAGACAGGCATCATCCTGACAACCCGTCATCTGACGTGATCACGGTGGGAGTTGGCTCCCCACAAGAAAATCCTTCGACCAAAATAGTTGAAAATATTTCCTCAAAAATCAGGTCAAGGGTATGTGCGATAAACGTGGCAAAGCCCATAGTGCGAGACAGAGTGACAATGACGAGAGGCTTTTGAGTCATGATACGGATTGTCACAGCATACATAGGCACGATAGGAAGAACATTCATGATTTTGGGGTCTCTTTGATCTTTCCATGTCAGCAGTGACGTGGTATCAACTAACATGTTCTCTAAAAGTACATGTTCGGGTGTTTCTGCTCCATCTCCTTGGCTTTGCTTCCACCAGACTCCTCCTGGATATGAATATCATTCCTCGGCATAGCATCATCATCCGCATCTTGCAAAACAATTGTTTCTCCCTGGCCATCCCCAGGGTCATTGGGGAGGCCCATAGGCTCTGGCTCGGATGGTGTGGCATGGATAGATCGGGCACGTTGGTCTTCATCCATCAAAGCCTCGTGCTGGGTTGGCGAGTGAGTTTGCTCTGATCTATTTCGATACCATGTCCTTATTTCATCCACATTTCTGAGGGGAAGACTATCCCACTCTCTTATGCGGTCATCTTTTCTTTGTGATGAAGGCTTGAGTGAGATGTGATTGTTGTTGGGTTCATTGATAGAATGCACGAGCTGAAAGAGAGCTTCTTCTGTCTCTGCAAGACGAGTCTCTAGTCTTGTAATAAACCCTATGGGGAGACCTCTACTATTTCATCAGTACTTAAAGTAGTCGATATGAATAAGCATGATGATGATACCTCTTGTTCTGTTCTGGATAATGGCAATTGGTAGGATCATTGGTGCATTGCAGACAATGAGGCCTGAGCAGCCGTTAGCACGACGATCTCTCCAATGGGAATCCGAAACACTTACAACTGCCTATCACACTAGCGAGTACTCAATTTAGTAAAAAGAATTTCTTTTTCCCCAGAATTGCGACTGGGGCATGAAATCTCACCTTGCGCTTCCGCTGCCGACAATGACTGCACGCTATCGGGTTCAACTGCCTCTCAGCCTCTTGCTCAACCGAGGCCTCATTATTCGCCATGTAAACAATTCACTTGCACAAGGACCAATCCTTGTGCAGCATCTGTAAATCGATCGGGGTTCTTCCCCAGAGTCAAAACGTCGCTCCACAGGCAGAATGACTTGTTCAACCCCGCCTCGGCCTTTTCTTTGTCCGGGCGCGACACTAGCACTTTTGCAGCTTCAGCTCACTCCCTCCAAGCTTGGCAGTCTCCAGCATCGTCAGTTCATCCAAGTATCACAGCTTGGTTCTGCTTAGGATGCGATGTAAAGATGTCTTCTCATCACTCACCGTATGATAACATCGAGACTGCATCCCACTCCACCCTAGGTCATTCAGAACCTCAAGGCCAGAAACGGAAACACTCAACTTCACAACCTGGACGCGAATATGGATTGATGCGAGACACAGGAGAACACGATGCCGCTCGATTCGTAGGAAGTGGCAGTGGAATCCACTATATTCGTGCTGTTCATCTCCGTCTTGCCAAGAGATCTGCATCAAGAACTACAGAACCTGGATCTTCGACTATCAACACGCTTATTCCCGGTGAAGACGACCAACTTCGTCAAGATGCTTCAATAAGACGAAATCGAGAGCAGTTTCTTTGGAAAGATGATGAAGTCTGTGAAAACCCCATGCCCGCAGAAGAGACCTTTGAAGACTTTGTCGAGTGGTCCAAGAGTTATTTCGAGGCATGGCATCCTGTTCTTCCGTTCCTTCACGGTCCCCACGTTCTAGGGTTGTTTGAAGAGGTTGCTAAGAACGGAACGCTATTGCTTGACCCTATCGATATGGTCATCTTGAAGTCTGTTCTTTCTGTATCATTGGCGGATAGTCGACAGGCCACTCCCCTCAAGAAGCCGATCCCAAAAATATATCTCTTCAACAGTGTTGACGATGCGTTAGCAAGCTCTCAGTTTGCTTTGAGCCAGCCGGCGTCAATCCGCTCAACTCAGGCAGCTTTGGCTATCCAGTTGTTCCTGACTTCGATGCTTTGTCTCAACGCCGCATCGAGATTAGGTGGACTGATTGTTAGGACTGCATTTCATATGGGCCTTCATCGTTGTCCAGCGCGATATCCCTTCTTCACAGATAAGGAGGTTTCAGTTCGACGCAGGGTTTTCTGGTGTATCTACATCCTCGAAAGGCTTCTCTGTCAGTCTCTTGGGCTACCTCTCGATATACGGGATGACGACCTGGATGTCTGTTATCCTGGCGAGGAGCGCCATACGATAACGAACAGGGAAGAGAATCCGGAACGATTACAGCTCCTGACGTTCGTCGCAAAGCATGCTCGAATACGCGGGCTCATTCTTGAGCTCAGGAACAAGTCTATGCTACAACGACAGGATACTGCAGATCGAGCAGCGTTCGTCCAAGCTGAACTGGCTAAATGGTTCAATGAAATCCAGGACGCAGTAGAAGAGGACGATCTGGCTGATACAAGCTCAACTACTCCAGCAATATCTGAACATCACAAGGTTATGCTTTTGGTGCTGAAACATGAGTCGGCAATATGCTTGAATAGACCTGGCCTCGCCTCAGAACATCCTTCGTCCTCATACTCATCCGCCTTTCAGGCATGCATATCAGCTGCCAAGTCTATCTTGATAATCCTCAAGAAACATCGAAACCGCCACCAGTTATCTGTAGACTCAACCAGTGCAAAGTCTCAAACACGCTTGCTGTGGCCTTCCTTCACGTGGTCTATATGGATCAGTGCATTTGTTCTTATCCATGCTGCCTTTGAAAAGCAGGTTCATCTGGGTAGCGCAATGAGGTGTTTCATTTTCTTCTCCAGTCTTTTATTGTTCGCTGACTCGTTTAGGCATGTTGCTGCGGCCAAGGATATACTTGGACATCTGGCTGCACGAGATACATCGTGGCCTGAATACTGTCTCGGGGCCATAGACGAGTTGACTTCCACCATTCAGGAACTCTCTCAGGAGCTTCCAACAATGATTGAATCTCCTGTAGATGCCATCATCACAACACGCAGTTTCTCACCTAGTGTTGGAAGTCAAGTACGGAGTGCTGAAAACACGACCCCCACAAGACTTCCAAGAACACAACATGCCCAATCTCAAAGCGCTGAGACAAGAGACAGCCCAAACTCTATCTCCCAAAACATCTCCTCCAATACCCAAGCACTCCAAGGACTATCCTCCACTCAACCCTTCAGACCGCAACAGAATAAACGGCCACGGACGACTTATCATTCTACTGGTATCTTATCTCAAGATATACCTTACTCACAGCCCCAAAATCCCCAGGCGCCATATTCCAATGACTTTCTATCTACACCAAACACATCACTGAACCCAGAAGGACCACCGGGTATGAACTTGGACAACATACCGCTAGAAGGCCATGAATCAATGATGTGGTACGATCAGCTCTTTGCGAGTTCATTCAGCGCCATCGACAATCCCTTTCTTGTAAATGCAGAGTTTGACGCTTCTGTCGATCCAACTTGGAATTATCTACGATAGTATCACTATACTAATACATTATACCTCCTTCACTTGAGTTACCTCCCGGTCCTTGTTTAATACCACTTGTATATGCTTCTTCTCACTGGACCCCTCGCCTTTGAAGAAATTCTCATTCTGAAGACGCTCGAGAAATAGCTCGTAAGCCGGCATATACCCCTTCACAAACTTGATGACCTGATCATCTGTCATGCCCGGCTTGTGCTGCCTCAACGCCCTTTCCTGACCCAGCCGCCACTCGTAGACCTGAACAAGTTTATCTGTACTTAGATGAAGAAATCCATCAAAGTGCTGTGGTCCAGCGAATGTCTCGCAGTATCTTCTCAAGTTCTGGTTGATGAGCAGAAGATGGCTTAGATCATGGCTCGCCAGCGTGTTTGTAAGAGCCCATTCTTCAGACTGCTGTGCCTCTGAAGCTTTAGCACTCTCCCACTTCCTCTTGACCTCCTCGTCAGTCAAAGGTTTGAAGCCAAGTGCCCAACCTTCAAAAATCAGAACATCCAAGCCTTGGTCCAGCGGAACTTCTTCCCAGTTCTCAACGGGAACTCTTCCACCCTGACCACTGTGAAGGCTCTTGTCAAAAGCTGGCCATTTGACAATTTTCTTATCACTCTCAACGTGACCAAGCACTTGGTCGAAGAAGTCCTTAGCTAGAACTTCGTCATGAGTTCCGGGTTGGCCACGAGTTTGGAGGAGGCCATTATCTGGGCTCGCTTCTCGAAGAGCGACAAGTTCTGGGTGGTCATGATAGAGATCATCTAGGGATAGCATGCGAGTCTTGAGATGGTGTTGATTCGTGAGAGCTTGGGACAGAGCTGCAGCCCATGTCGATTTGCCACTGCCTTGAAGACCAGAAAGGCCTAGAACGAATGGTCTTGAGGAGTTCTTCTGGTGAGCTTGGATAGCAGGGACAAAGATGTCCAGCACAGTATCAATAGCTTTTGGATCGATCATGGCTAGTGTGGTGTAAGATATTGGGTCTTTCGTGATTAAATTTACAAAGTAACAGTGCGTGATCGATAAAAAATAATATCCATCAAGATATCATGGAAGACAAAGGAAAGGAAAGTCCCTCATATCGCCTTTGGCACTCTTCTTAAGTGATGGACAATTATTCCCCGCATCATAAGCCACTATTCACGGAAAAGCGTCAATCGCAACGGACTTGAAGCGCCGCTCACTTCCTTTCCCGAACCAGGCAAGGCGATGTTGCAGCGGACATTTCTAAGTCCGTCCACCTCCACACAAAGCCAAGACTAACATACTCTCAATCCGACATCTTGGTATATATAAGTATAACATATCTATCTTATACAGTTCATCAGCATCTTCAATACTCATCACAAGTCTTTGCATACAAACCCATCATGTCTCCCTCCGCAGTCACCGCCAAGAAGTCCTACAGCATCGCCTCCATCCCCGCTGATGGAATCGGTCCTGAGGTCATTTCCGCTGGCATCGAGGCTTTAAACGCTCTGGCCGATACTCTCCAGACTTTTGATCTTGACTTTACTCATTATGACTGGAGTTCGGATACTTACAAGAAGACTGGAAAGTATATTCCTGACGGTGGTCTTGAGCAGTTGAAGAAGCACGATGCTATCCTCTTCGGCGCCGTTGGAGCTCCTGGTAAGTCCATTAATGTTCTGATGAGACTTGATACTCATTCTACTAGATGTTCCTGATCATATCTCCCTCTGGGGTCTCCGTCTGGCAATCTGCCAGCCCTTCCAACAATACGCCAATGTCCGCCCAACACGCATCATGCGCGGCACACAATCTCCCCTGCGTAACTGCAAAACCGGTGATCTCGACTGGGTCATCATCCGCGAGAATAGTGAAGGTGAATACGCCGGCCAAGGTGGTCGTTCACACCGTGGTCACGCCTGGGAAGTCGCTACAGAAGTCGCCATCTTCACTCGCCATGCTGTTAGCAGACTTATCCGATTCTCATTTGAGATTGCGCAGAAGAGACCTAGAAAGCATTTGACTGTTGTCACTAAGAGCAATGCTCAGAGGAATGGTATGGTACTCTGGGACGAGGTTGCCGCGGAGGTTGCGAAGGACTTTCCGGATGTTACTGTTGAGAAGATGTTGGTTGATGCTATGACTACGAAGATGGTCCTTAAGCCTGAGAGCATCGATACTATTGTGGCCAGCAACTTGGTAAGCCAATCACTCAGCCCGTTGAATACGTTACTGATACACTCCAGCACGCCGATATTCTCTCTGACTTGGCCGCTGCCCTCGCTGGTTCAATCGGCATCGCACCGACAAGCAACCTCGACCCCAGCCGCGAGAACCCATCTATGTTTGAGCCCATTCACGGCTCTGCATTCGACATCACCGGCAAGGGCGTCGCCAACCCAGTAGCTACCTTCTGGACAGCAGCTGAGATGCTCGCTTGGCTGGGTGAGGAGGAAGCTTCCACAAAGTTGATGGAGTGCGTTGAGAATGTTACTGCTTCAGGTGTTCTCACACAAGATCTCGGTGGAAAGGCGACTACCAAGGAGGTCACAGCTGCGGTCGTGGCGGAGATCAAGAAGAGTCTGGGCAAGAGTTCGAAGTAAGTATTAGTAACGAGATAAATGATAGAAAATGAACAGTTCTGGTTTTGTTTAGTCTTTATTGCCATAAACCTCTTTGTGTTGTGAAGTCCCATAGTTGTTGTCTCTCAAGGAAACGCCTTTGTTCTTGACCTTTGTTCTCCCCATATCCACACAATAAATGGCTACTTGACAAATTCTGAGCCTATCAAAGCGACTTCTCTTTATCGGTTCATATCAAACAGCCCTGTTGTGCTGGGGGTTATGTATTATCGCGGAGTCGCATAGTCATGAGCGATTCTACAATTTAAGTATCGTCAGTGGCATAGAAGCACTTACTCAAACAGCTTCGAAAAGAATACAAAGCCATCAATTCTGAATTCCACGTATATTGCGATAAGCTATTTCACCCATATCTACCTGAATAGCCAGAAAATCGCCAAATTCTGAGCAAAGCCCATCAAGCGAATGGGCCCCTTGTTACTGCTCTCCAAAATGTCCAAGACATTTTCTCTCCTCTTTTCTATCGCGACTCCGAAACTAGACCTTGACTGGCATAGAGGCATGGTTCTACAGAGGCCATGTTAGGATTTGAGCCAAAGCTCGTCAACTTCAAAACGCTGCGATTTGCAAAAACGACACCAATCTCTTACCTAGCTCAATCACGAGAACGACGAGGACCGCAGCCTCAATCTTCACCGTATAGATCATCGTCGGAATCTATCAATATCGGGTCATTATAATTATTTCCATAATGCCCTTGACGATTCCTGCCCTGTTGGCGAGGAGGAGCCTGCGCCGCCAATTGAGCCGCCAAGCGATTCATCGCAAGGAGCCGCTCCTGGTTTGTGCGCCTAGCTTCAGCGTCTTCCGCATGATTAGGCTCTTCACGGCGAGGCCTGTCTATCTGAGGGGTATCCATCGGGTTATAAGGTCGGCGTGGCACGTCTAAATGAGGCGCATCTCTCTCGTTGTACAAGCGGCCTTGGTAGTACCTCTCAGGCGGACCCATATCTGGTCGATAAGTCCTGGGAATAACACGTTCGTCTCTTACAGGCGGTCTCTCAATCCGCTGCTCATTGATCTGCATGCGACCAATATCCGGCATGGGAGCTTCCATGGCAGCACGGCCATCGTCGCGCCGGCGATCCATTCGCATTCCAGGCGCATGTCTTCTCTGCACATCGGCGACTTGGTTAGCTATTCTCATATCTCCCCCGTGTATCATGTTCCCGGACATCCTCCGTAGGCGAGGGGCATCGGGCGGAGGACCTACCATTATAGGTTCAAGACCGTGCAATTCCACTGGTATGGCTCGTCTGCGATTTCGGTCACGTTCATATGCATCTCGATTCCTCTCATCGTGATAACGTCTTTCTCCATGATGATTTCTTTCCCCCTGGCGATGCCCTTCTCCATAGTGATTCCTTTCTCCATGACGATGTCCTTCACCATGTTGTCGTTCCCTCCCATGATGTTCCCCACGGCGGCGCTGCTCCTGGGGTTCCTGTTGTCCCTCAGGAGGAGGCAACACCAAAGGACGGATAACCCTTCGCGGTCCCCCGGCTCTGGGCGGAACACGATTCTCCTCACCCTGTACGGGTCGTAGCTGTGGAATTCTCGCAGGTCCATCCGCCTCGTCCGCTGCAGCCTCCTCAGTAGGGTGCGGGCGACGACGGTACTGCGGTGGCTTCGTACCTGGACGGTCCCTCATGGGTACCATGAGGTTAAAGCCTCCATATGTGGGACAGCCGCAGGTGCGCCATACTTCACCGCAAATGAAACAGAATTCTTGGCCGCATACGCATGTCATGTGGTTGCACGCCTCTGCGAGCTCGATCATCCTGCCGCACCCGGGGCAGTTAACGGTCCGGTTCTCGTCCATGGTGGCCCAGACGTCTTCCTCTGCGGCTCCCTCTCGGCAAGGCTGGCCTGGATGGCCTCGCTCACCGCAGTCACGACATGTGTGCGTATCACACAATAAACAGTGCCCGTTGCGGTCAGGCGGAATGAATGCTACGCAGTTAGGGTCGTGGCAGTATAGTCTATTGTGAAACGGCGCATTGGCTTCCTCTTGCACCTGGCGGAACAGATGAACCAAAGCAGGGGCGCGTGCAAGTGCAACACCCTCCTCATTGATAGGCTCGCAGCATCTCGGTGGAAACCCTTCTTGAGAAACAAGACCGAGTCGAATAAGTTCACGGTAGCAAGGGTAGCAGTAATTGTGGCGGCCGCAAGGGGCTCTCATGTGAGCATCGTCCATACAAGCAACGCACATTTCTCCGTTCCCTTCTTCAGGTACAGGATCCATTGCAGCTTCGCGAAAAGCAATCCTCCTCTCGGTGCGATCCAGCACGATTCGATGGTTGGTATTGCGAACTTCGGGGCTGCGCAGTCGCTCAAAGGCCAACTCTTCATCGGTAATAATCCTACTGACCAGGAAAGCCTGTTCATCATCCTCTGCAAGATCTAGAGCAATGGAGATGAGCCTGGCCAGGTATGGCTCCGAGAAAGCTTCGTCAGGGGGTAGGAGCTCTTGACGGATCAGCAAGTCAAGAAAGTCCGGGTGGACTCGGTCGAGGGCGTCAGAAACATCCGACATGCTGGGCAAACTTTCGATAGACGCAGAGAGTGTGTATAGAAAAGTTATAGGTGTCGCAACTACGGACCTGTCAAAGGTATATAGGTGTCAAGTCGCTGAGGTTCCTCCAAGCAGATTTAAGTAGCGAAAAAGGCGGTAGTATATGCTATAAGGTTATAGACTGCTTAGATGTCAACTGGCGATTTGTGCGAGACGCAAGAAGGTTTGTGGGAAAGAAAGCTTATCAAGGAGAAAGGGTTAGGACTGGTGAAGCTTTTATCTTTGAGTTGAGAGGCAGCTCAAAGCACGCTTTGACTGACTGTTCACGTATTCCCAACAGTGACCAGAGTCGTGTAAGGCAGTTTCAGTGCCTGGTTGAAGAACAAGGCCACAGACTTCCAGTGACCTAGTCCACAAGGGCATGTTCGCTGGTGACAAGGTCGACAGCGTACTCATGTACCTCAGCGAGAGAGTTCGGTACCTCACAAGGGATCGATAGGCAGTACAAAGCGAGTTAGATGCTCAAAAATGCTGGTATTTGGTAGCTGACAGGTAATCAGATCGATATCAAGCCTTTCTGTAACCCCAAGAAATCCATCCGTGGCCATGCGCCGTCACTTCGCTCCTCTCGACTATTAGCCGTTGCCCACAGGGTATCCGGGCATCCATTCATCGACGACGTAAAAACACTATGACTCCCTAAAAAAGATGGTAGGTAAATCATGAAAAAAGATGTCCAAGAGCCAAGAGTTTGGTATCCAACCCAGCCAAGACCCCGGTACTGACAGTCCATCCGTAGCCCCAAACTGAAGGGACGATCTGAGTTGATGTGATGGGCAAACAAACAAAGAAACAGAATCCATATAAAATGACAATGAAATCATCAATGACCATGACAATAAAGCGTAAACCCCACTAACTCCACCTCGTCATGAACTCCATCGCTGATTCCTTATGTGACGTCCAGGCAAAAGACACGCAATATAGACAAACAATTCGGCGACGCGGAGCCTAGTAGCTGAAGTCGACATTGGCCATGGCCATCGGCGGTGGCCCCTTGTTCTGGTCATTGTTGTTGTTACTAGGTGATGAACCGTTGTTGTTATTGTTCTGATTCACGGTGGTCGATGATGCGTCACCGTCACCGTCACCGTCACCCAGAGTTGTGTCTGCGCTTGATGCAGTCGTCGTTGTTTGCAGCTCGTGGCCTGCAGGCGGTTGGGCGCTCGGTGACCAACCATCGTTGAGCATCTGTTGGAAACTCCAGCTCGGTTCGAATGACTTGCTGTTCCATGCGTGGTTCACTCGTTCGTACATCTCGTCGATCTGTTCCAGGCTGATCTTGCTTGTTTCGTACACATTACACCACACAAAGAAGACGGCCAGAATGCAAAAGGCGCCCCATATGAAGAAGATTTTTGGTCCAAAGGAGGCATTACCTGGCCCTGATCCAACCAAGAAAGGCACACTGTAGCCGATACCAAAATTGAGAAGCCAGTTTGACGCTGTTGAAACCGACATAGCCTTTGCACGGACTTTGAGGGGATAAATCTCTGATGTTACGACCCACACCACAGGTCCCCAAGAAGCAGCGAAGAAGAAGATGTTGATAGCACAGAATGTGATGAGAATGGTCTGCGACGCTTTCTCGTAACTCTGTCCTGTCGCGGTATCAAAGGACGCCATAAGGAGTTGGCAGCCGGCCATTCCAATGGCTCCAATCATCAAGAGCTTTCGTCGACCCCAACGTTCGATAACCAACAGGCCTGGTATTGTCGAGACAACATTGATGACGTTGATAATAAGCGACTTGGCGTATGGACTCTCGACGCCGGCACCGTCAAAGAAGGATGTGCTGTAGTACATTATGAAGTTAATGCCGGTGAGCTGTTGAAGCATCTGTAGACCGCAACCAGTAAATGTACGTCGACCAAGGTGTGGCGAACCAATAAAGATGTCTTTATAACTGTCGGGTCCTAATGTTAATTCATATTGGTGATTTGCTATCATTTCTTGCAGTTCGTCAATGAGCGCTGGATGTGTAATGTCTAGTCGTCGGAGACGACTGAGTGAAAGACCGGCTTCGGTATGAAGGCCCTTCTTGACAAGGAAACGAGGTGTTTCAGGTAGTAATAATAAGCCGCCGGTAAGAATAATCGCTGGCACAATCTGGAGGCCGAGAGGGATTCGATAAGCGGAGGAGTCCTTGAGTTCAGAGGCGAGGATGTTGACTACAGAAGCGGAGAAGAGGCCAATGGTGATCGATAGTTGATATGCGCAGACAAGAGTACCTCTGATCCATTTTGGTGCCATTTCAGACTGATATAATGGAACGAGGACAGAGATAAGGCCGACACCAATGCCAGCGAAGAACCTAGAGACATTATTAACGGCATGGTCTTCCATAGAAGGGATGAGGTGCACATACCTCCCAACTAGTAACAGATCTATGTTATTAGCGCAAACTTGGAAGATGGCGCCGACGCAGAAAATGCCCACGGCCAAAAGAAGAGTCTTGCGACGACCTAGAGAATCGCCAGTGGGTGCAGCAAGGAGAGCACCGAGGGCAGTGCCAGCGCTAAGGATGGCGACGATGATAGATGAGTCTTTTGTACAAATGTCGATGGCGCCCTTTTCGTCGTGACAATTTGTGTGCTTTCCGAATTGCTCCTTGAACTCTGTCATGGCAAGGATGCCGTTGATGGCTCTGCGAAGAAATATGGTTAGTTTCTGGCTGTCAAAACGATGTGACACGATGAAATGGGCTGGTATGGACAAGTCGGTTTTCGGGGAATCGAGTCGGAGTTTCTCGTGGGAGATTCGTCGAGACGAGTCGCTGTCATTCCAGATATCGCCCTTGGTTCGCTTCCTTCCAGCACTTCTTCCGACGATGTTGCCTTGCGTTCTTTGAGAGATATATGGTGATGGCTTCGTCATGTATGTCACACGAGTCCACCGCAGTCGTCGCATCGTCAAATTGAATAAAGTATCGTCGATAGGTCCCGGTATCCCCCTCCGCATGAATAAGGTCGTCGGTGCAGCGTGTTCGTCCACCGTATGTCGTAACCATCCATATCCAAGAGCATTCAACGTCAAAAGAGAAAATGGTGGTCAGTCTTACCCAGTATCGTAGCCGAACAGCAACCCGCCAGAGGCAACGAAGAGACCGACCATGATGGCCGGCGCCGACGAGCCCGCGACATTGTCGGGTTTCTGCCAGCCCATGGCAATGGCCATGGTGTCGGGTGTTGAAGTCGTCAATCCAGGGTCAGAGGTATCAAGAGCGAAAGGCTCCGGGTCGGCGAGATTTTGGTGGAGGTTGAAGGGTTGAGAAGATCAACGGGGGGACATTGGGCGATTCCGTGTGGGTAATATCTGGATTGGACTGGCCACTGGTCGACCTTCTAGCCCGGCCGTTGTAGTGCTAGTCCTCGCACTGGGTACGGGACACCTTTTTGGTGCTGTAATGGTTCAAAGTCAATGCTTCCAGGTTCGCTAGTCTCTAAAAGGAGAGGGGAGAGCACGTGGGACATAACCAAAGCCAGAGGAGAAGGGAATACAATATGTAAAACTCAGATTCGATAGTAAGTTTGAGTCTCGATGCTTAAAGTGTCTTTCATACTCTCAGAAGGGACTCAAAAGGAAGACCACAGAGAGGGGCAGACATGAATGGCGAGAGACTCCCATCTCCAGACAAGGAGGCAAAAGCAGAAATGATCATCACTCCAAAGCCTGACCATTCCCCATCTAGTTAAGCCCCAGCATTGGCTCCCTGACCTGCAGCCACTGGAACCTCGTCAAGCCATCCCAGTGGGTTCTTGTCACTGGAACGAGCGTAGACTGGCTGAGCTAAGCGAGTCTACAGTGCGATTCCCCTCAAAACCAATCAACCAAAACTCTCTTCTCCATGGAGGCCAAAGGATCCATGGATACTGTCTGTACCTTGAGAAGAAGAAGAAAGACGTCGCTGGTATCATTACACAAATATCACGGTTCAGGACATTATTCTCGCCTTACACAGCACGCGCAGCAATCCAAGCACTGCCCTCGAGCTTGTCTTGAGTTCCCCGAATCTGAAACTGAGTCACATTGACACGGTCCCTGTCCAAGCCAGACCTGAGAGAGAAACAGGGGAGCTTCTTTCTTTTTTTTTTTTCAGCTCATAAACGACCAAGCCATAGTTTCATGTCGTACGGAGGTACACAAGCTAGAAATGCAAGAAAATCAGGAAATTCGTATACAGAGTTGTGTGGCTGTGGGTAGGACCGAACTCCTTATGAGGATTCTATGATGGGAATTTAACATATCACAGACTACTTGAGAAAGGGCGCATTGTTAGCATTATTGTTACAGAGACGGGATGACAGGCCTTGAGGAACAAAGAAGCTCTCTTGTCACTTTTCGGGCCCCGAGGACACTCCGCTATTAGCTGCATTCATGCATCTCAATTCAAGGGTGACGGCTCTCGGCAATATTCCGCTGTGAGAACACGGTATGTACTTGTATTCCGAATATTCGGATTCAAAATCAGGTCGTTCTCATGCAAGCCAGTATCATGTCTTCCAACCTCTCAAATAAACAATGCCGTTAATAGAGTTGTTGATAGCGTTTAGTATCCGAACTATCAGCAACTCCACCATAAACTCTTTCAGGATGATCGGATGAACATTGCAGTTCACTCTCACACCAAGAGCACAGTCAGAGCAACTGTCTCCCGCACGTAGCCTCCAACCATCAACAGCGCCGCCGCCATGCAGCGCTTACCCCGGCCTAGCACCGCGTTCCCTTTTCTCCCCAAACTGTAGAGACAAGTCCCATAGCTCAGTCTACTTGCAGGATCAGTACTTTTGTGCAACGTGCAGAGTCACACAGTCTCCAGTTTCCCCCAGACAAATCACCCCGGGGTTTTAGTCCGGGCCCGGTACTGGATACTTGACGAACGACCAACCCTTGTAGGCAGAGAGTTAAGACAAGTTCATGACTTTGAACGAATAATGGGGATAAGACAAGCGAGTTTTCTC